CCGATAAACAGGCTGCATTTATAAAGATGCAAAATCACTTTACAGTTGGCTTCTTAATCACCCATTTGCTCACACACTAGGTGCATCTACCTACATGCATTGTCAAATTGCGCTCCAAAAACACTTGGAAATATTGCTATTTAAATACGACTGAGTTGGTAAAATTGTTTCCTCTGAAGCTCCCCTTCTTCTAAAATGGTTTAATGACAACTCCTAATATTCACATAGCCGTAGTGGATGGGAAATGGATGCTACAGCTGGATGGACACCTTTCCCCTGAAGGCTGTGAGTCTAACCATTGGGAGTAGTTGAGTTTCAGTAGACGATCAGTCCTACCTGCTGAACCACATTCACCCACAACTCCATTCAGTCTCTAGACACTGTGCTTAAAGTTTGATTAGGTTTAGGAAAAGCTTGTGGTTTTGGGTTAAAATGATTACTTTATTAAGGTTAGTGGACCTTTGTTATAGCTATACTAATAAACACTTGGTCATGGGAATGGAGCGATGGAACATTTCCAGCCATCCGCCCCGCAACATGATGTCAGAAATAGAATATAATCCAGCCCCTACAAGATTTATTTATGTATCTTATCAATTTAAATTACCTCTTCGTATACAATTAAATAAAAACACAGTCAAAAAAAAAAAATATTTGGCTCCTAATACTGGCGCTGGTGGTGCCGCAAATGTAATACATTCTTGCCTTCATTTGTTGTTTGGATGCGAACAACAAAGATGATATAAAGTGATGATATATAATGTATAAAAACAGCTTTTTGTTAAGTATAATGTTAGTAATGGAGATATTTTCAGAATACTGCTCATCTTGTAGCACTTTAGTGCTGAAGGGACCCTCCTGTGAGATTACAGTACCAGCAGAGGCCCCAGTTTGAGTCCCTCTGCTATCTACTTTACTCCATGTCCCGTATCAACACTGTCATCTGTTTAAACTGTAACAAGCACTAAATGACATTTATTTATCACTATAGAGAGAATAATGACGGGATTATTTTATTCATATGAAACAACAATGAATTATTCAGTACTGTGTAAATAACGTCTGTTTCAATTATTTCTGCTTGTTATTGTTATAATAATAACAACAATAATGATAATAATAATAATAATAAGGTGATTAAAAAGAAGATTATTGACAATTCAAATGTTTTGCATGTATTAACATTGTGGCATGGCCTTTTCATAAAACTAGACATCTAAGAAGTTAAGTATGTATTCATTCATATGAATTAAACAAACACAGAATATTTACAGTCTGTTTCATTTAGAGAAGTTAGCAGCTGAGTGCGATCAAACACAAATCACCTGTCTTCCAACATTTATTGAGAACAGAAACCCAAAGTTATGTCAAGTTGAGTTAAGTATGAAATGATGGAAACTGGCTGTTAAGGTATCATATTACCTGCTGAGGCCAGTGCAGCCTGAGTGAGCAGCACAACGATGAATCCCACGTTCTCCTCCATTATGCCCATTAAAATCAGTGTGTGTGATAGAAGATTGTACACTGTATGCTGATAAAGATAATGCCGCCCTGCAGGTTCACACCAACATACTTCTGCTTAGTTACAGCAGGAGGAAGTTACTTTAGAATACTGATTGGATATTAAAGTCAGGAGGAGGAGTGTTAAATGAAGGATGTGCTGAAAGAGGGAGACGTATTTGCTTAAAAAACGGTAAACAGTATAAAACCCAAGATATAGTGAAACAACTTCATGTGGTCCCTTGAGTTGACTTTGTACAGTAATGTCCAGGAAAACAACTTGTGTGGTCATTTTGAGCAAGGATCCATCCATCGTCTCGTCGTAATGGTCCACCCCCAAGGAATCTTTATGTTTAGATTATTATTATTAGATTATTACCAGATCTATTTTGAAAAAACCGACACAGGTTGTGGAAACTATAAGCACTGAGGGGTCCAGGGGCCCTGGTGGTGTGCACACCACCAAGGGACTCAGGGGACCTCACATTGTAGGCGCTGAGTGCTTAGTTCATGCTGCTTATATGAAAAGTCCTTTACAAATACAGTATTATTGACTGATTGATGGGTGGATAAAAGCACCCAGGGGCCAAGTGGTCGGTTTGTGCACTGTGGGCGTTCAGCTTCCTTTGGAAGTCTTGGGCCACTTGTCAGACACAGATAAAGCCTTGGAGGCCTCCGGCAGTCTGAGGCCCTGGAGTGTATTGTGTAACTTTGTGTACAATCTGCTTTCATTTTCCAAGAAGCAGCCACACCTTACAGGTATTATAAATGCTGGAAACAGAAACTACATAAAGACACAACTGGTGCACTTCATCGTGAACACAAGGTAAGGTGTCCGACTTACAGTAAATAGTTTAACTGTAACAGGTAGAATAAAGATTATCAGTAGTAGTAGTATAGAGTAGTAATGAATTTCATTTGGATTATTTTGCTGTTTGTGTGTTTTTGTTAGATGGATGCAATATTCCACCTACTCGAGCAGCACAGACTGCAGTCTCACTACAAGAACTTTTGTGATGCTGGTGTGAAAGATGAAAGAGATTTCCTTGATCTCAAAGAAGAAGACATGAACTCCATTGGTAAGATTACAGATAAATGTAAAAGAGTGTGAAATCAGTAAGTGTAAAGTGCATTTTCTGTTTTTGTCACTAAACATGAAAATATGTCAAATATAATTGTTATTGCTATATGCATGGAAGCATTCAAAGACAACCAGCAGAGTTTTACATGAGTTGTTCTCTGTTTTCCAATCAGAATGACATTAACTTTAGTCTAGAACCCTATCTAACAGAAAGTCGTGAGGAAAGAGAAAGAGAAGACTGGCCATAAGGAAAACAGGTTTTCCACCATTACACAGGAAAAACCTGTTGATCAGGAAACTTGATCATAAGTTATGAGTACATAACACAGTGTACTGTGTACACCTACTGAGGATTGTCACATGTGCCTACTGAGATAAATACACTGTAATTTGTTTGTGAATTATTAATATTGAATTATCTATACTTTAATGCTCCTCAAAAGCTATTTAAAATTCTTCTGAAACCCACAAATATGTTCCTCGTATGTTTGCAAAATTGATTAATTTGTGATTACAGAAACGCAAATTATTTAACACTAAGGGTGTGTCTCATGTCGCTTAATGGCATCCTTTCCCTCACTTGCATCTTTTCATGCATCCCTAGAGGAAGGGACTCAGACACACGGAAACGAGAAGAAGGAAGAGTTAAATGTCCACATATGGACACAAGGGCAATTTGGCATATTAAAATAAAAAATGATGCTGATCATACATATTTCCAAACAGGATTAAGCCAGGTGGAAAAGAATCGTTTTTCTACCATGAGAAACTCCATTCGCAGACTCAGAGCTCCTGCAAACCCAGCTGCAATGTCTGTGAAAAAGTCAATGGAGTCATTCTGTCTGCAGTACACGTACCCCAAATGTCCTGAGCCAAAATACATCAAAGGTAAGAAATTCACTTAAATTCATTTAAAGCATTTTTTAAAAATCTTTTTTTTTATGAAGCTCTTTACGGAGCACAGGCCCCTCGTGTGAGAGCCCACAGTTTCAACTAAACTTTTGATATAGTACCCTTGAATCCATGGAAGGCGATCATCACTGTCTGCCTTGGTGATTACCCACTAATGAAAACATAAATATTATGTAATATTATATTCCATTTCTGCCAAAAGATGAGGATGAAGGGTGAAATGAATGGACAGCTGAACCATTATCGGGCTTTAAGAAATATGAAACTTTAAATAATTAGAAGCACAGAATTGCTTTAACTATCTGAACCAAATGTTTAAATAAATGTGTTCTAAATCTCTGAGTCACAGTGCTGTGTTTTTTTCTATAACTACAACATTTCATGTTAACTATAGAATAATTATATAGTGCTTACTACGGGGACTCCAAGTGACCTTCACTCTAGCATATGCCCAACACACACACGCATGCACATACACAAAACCCACCACTGTACCAAATACAGCCTCACATCATATGTCTTGTATGTCTTGTCTTGAAACCAACAAATATGTTCCTCATATGTTTGCAATATTGATTAATTTGTGATTACAGAAATGTAAATTATTTAACACTAAGGGTGTGTCTCATGTCACTTAATGACATCCTTTCCCTCACTTGCATCTTTTAATGCATCCCTGGTGGGAGGGACTCAGACACATGAAACGTGAAGAAGGAAATATTACATCATACATCATTCTTTGTATAACACCCATATACCATTTTATATTTTTACCAAGATCATTTTGAATTTGCAGATATGGATCCTGCACAAAATACAGTTGAAGATCTGATGTTGAGGATCTGTCACTGTGAAAGTGTTGATACATCCAAAGGTGTCTGTCTCTACACGGTGGATGGAATGCCTTTGACTGATGATCCATTCTTCAACACATGTAAGTTAATTCAGTGCAAGAGGTCATTATTCAGTGTGATTATGCACCACAATAAAGGATTTCTGAGGTTATTAGGCCTTCACACAAATGTTTTCAGTGTTTTGTTTTGGTACTTTTCCACATAAAACTGTTGTGTCATTCGAAATTGCGTATTGCATTCACTTTTTAAAGATACACATTTTTTTTGTCTGTTTTTCTGAGAAATTATTTCTGTTTTTCAGAGTAATTTATTTTTATGGTTGATTTTTTCGGAGTAATTTTTTTCAGATTTTCTGAATATTTTTTAGCGTTTTAGAGTTTAAAGAGCATTTGAAACAATAGATGCAATCCTTCCTTTATTGAGAGCTCGACTTAATGGAAACAAACATGCCCAGCTTGTATAGTTCAATCAAGTTTTACTTTGATCTGGGTTTAAGACACTGGGAGACAGGCCTGTCTTTAAGTCATATAGATGGTATTATCATTAGTTTGTCGACTCTCACGTAGGAACCTGAGGATTTGATAGTTGAAGATGGGGCATGTATGTGCGGGGAGGACTCACCATAGGTCCATGGGATAATTCAGAAAAAGATTTGTCTGAAAAACAGAAAAATATATTCAAAAAAACAAACCGAAAAATATATATATTTTTTTTTCAAGTGAATGCAATACACTTCCATAGTGCCAAGCTACATATCAGTGAAGAGAAGAAAATCAGAAGAATTAAAAAAAATACAATATTGAACCATTTCTGTTCATAATTGTTAAGCCACGCTATGTGGCAGACACTACAGTACAACATCGTATGCAAAGTGGTTATATTGATTTTCTTCACCTACAGGGTCTTTAAAAGACAGACATATTGCAAATGGAGATGTAATCTATGCAATATTTACACCAAAGGAGAACCTGAAAACAGCTCCTCAAATGTTGACGCAAAAGGTTACTGAAAACTACGGAACTGATACGGTTCGATGCCACATCATGCTCAAGGTGAGTTTCAGTACAGTACAGTGCTGTAGGACATTTTCCTGAATTTAGCAGCATAACATATAGGTTAATAGTTTAATATGAATAATATATAGGTGTGTGTTATGGCTATCAGTTGTAAATATTGCTTCCTATTGCTCTGAAATCATGTTTTTTTCTTTGAGCTGGAGGTGGGGAAGTTAACGTACATACATATGCTGAACCCAGAGGTTAGATTTCATCCATTCTGTAAAATAAAGCAATAAAGCATACATTTTGACTGATAGATGATCATGTAATATGAGAACTACAAGATACCTTCCCTTTTTTCAAAGTTTCCAGCAAATATGAACATTTAACATTTAATTGGAGTCTCAAAATGCTAGGAAAAATGCGCCAGAGACTGCAGAATATGTATTGGGTCAACAAAGTCAACACAGCAATAAACACAAGAAAGATTGCAGGACCTAACTGTCTTTCTGCTCACAAAGTGCTTTCTTATCTACTGAACTGGAGCTCCTCCAGTGCTGTGCTGTGACCTTTTTTTTATCTTTGATTGGGCTACACCTGACATGACCCTGTTCTACAAATCTTCTTCCCAAGATTTAAGATAACATAGTTCACATAATTATAATTTTAATAGTTTTTTTTCAATGAAAAATTAAATTTGTGATGCAAATATCATCATTCCCACAGTAATTGTGAATCACATCGCATCGCAGCATCTGTCAATGTAATCGCATGTTTTTACCATATCTTGTAGCCCAGCAAATACTTTTACTGTCACTAATTACAATAAAGCAAAATGCAAAAAAACCCACTTTATTCTCCCCAATTTTTAAAAACAAACATTTGCTACAGGGAAACTTCGAGGTGAAGGTGGATTTGACCAAGGACACAATAACTAATCTGAAGAACAAGCTTGCAAGTGAAAGTGGAATCCCAGGACATGTCCTTCATTACAAGTAATTCTGAATTATTGCAAGGCATACATAGTATGGCTTTTGACCCTAATTACTGATAATGATTCTGGTATGTTTATTAAATCATAATTTCAGAGGTGAACATGGCAGTGGAAACACACTGGAAAGTTGTGGAATCTCAGATGAGTCCACGGTGTTCTTCTCACTGTCTACGTTTACTGAAGAGGTTCCAGACCAAAGAGAATTCTTCACTAATGATGTCGAGCCCTCAGTGCAACAAACCTCCAAAGGAATCAGTGTCTTCTTGTCTTCACTTTATATCATTGTAAGCAGTGTTTCATGCTATATAGTTAGAAATATTAATACATTTTTACATAATAAATTGCATTAATTATTGAACCACTTTGCTTTGTGCAATCATTTCTTAACTCTCAGTCACATGTAACTTTAAGATGTCTTTGCTTTAAAGTAATATACAAAACATACTGGGAATACTGTGCTTTATAAATATACATATATATGTATATGTCTTTATTGTTTGTTTGATTATTTTTTGGGGGCCGTTCCCAAAAATGTGCACAATACAGCTTGTGATTATTTGAAACTGATATTTTCTGCTCTAGAACAAAAGGGGTCCAGGAATTCCATTCAGGAATTTGATTGGCTACATACGAAAACTGACTGGATGTAACCCTCTGGTTCAAAGTTTGTACCAGTTACTCTGGAAGAATGAGACTATATCCAGAAACCAGAAGGTAAACTATACAAGATGGTGATATATTACTTGTATTACCTTTTGCATGAAACTTTTGAAAAGTTTTTTTCTTACACTGATTATGTCATTATTATTGCATTATTTATTTTCTTTCACCACATGTCTTAAGAAAATGTTATTTTCCTCTTTCAGTAACAATATGTCTTTTCCTGTAGATTGCAGTGGTTGAAGGCTTGTACCTGCTCTTTAGAGAGCTTTTGCCACAGCTGGGAAAGAAACTAGGAGAAAAGATCATCGAGGACATTGATGTCTTTGAGTATTCAACATACTGCTGGGCATATCTCCTATCAGAAGCAAAGGTATTCCCACATTAACAAGACAATGTTAGCAACAACAAGAGTATGTGGGGGCACAGACCCCACCACATCACTAGATCTGGACCTGTCTTAAAAGGTCTCTGATTACTTTGGGTAATGCATATAGATATTTAAGAGCCTTCATGGGCGAAAAGGCTCTGAACTTTTAAGATTGATCACTATCAGAAAACAGGACCCTGTTTTGCTGCATTGCCTTTGAAATGCGTCAATCTTGGACTAGTTGTTGTCATGGATGTTGTCACTGAATAGAAATGTCATGCTGCAAGTCGTTTTCGTCGTCGTTTTTTGACTAGTCACAGTTAGAATCAGAGAAGCCCTCACTGTTCAGTTGCAATAAGCCATGATAACTAGTTGTTGTTTCTGTGTCATTACAAATTGTATGTCCACTGTGTGTATGTTCATGAACAATGAAAAATGAAAGAGCCCCCCCAAAAAACATCTTAAACAAAAATGTAGTAAGTCTGAGGGAGCTATGTACTCCTGCATATATACATGCACATAAACTTCAATTGCATACAAAAACGTTACAGAGGAGTGATAGACTTCTAGTTCAATGTTTCTACCTAATTCCCTTTTTATTATGCCTTGTAATATTTTGACAGAAAGAAACATCAGAACATGAGAACTATGCACCATTTTCTCTGATGTCTGAAGAAGGCAGGCGTTACTCTGATCCAGTCACTGTACCTGGAGTACCAGGTGTCCTCGAAAGAGCAGTTGTACTTCAGAAAATCAAAGGTAAAGTAAAATGCAATTCTGGTTCAGAATTGTGTGAGCAGACCTAACAACTACACATTTTGCAAACAATTTATGTATTTTGGTTTGTATTTAGGTTTGAGTTCTTATTTTTGTAGTTTGGTAACCCAGCACCACAGACTACCTTTCAGTTCATTTTTCACTTCCGACGGGTGCAGACCAAAATGCCTCTGGATGCGATTGGATAGACCTACAACCAATCAGAGCAATGTATTGCCTGATGTAGTGTAGTTAATAAATTGAATCAAATCCTTTCAAAGTTTTAAGTGCATTTGTTTGTTCTTATTTTAGAGAAAATATACAGTCCAGTTTGTTTAATACTGATGTGAAAGCAGATTCAGCAAATGTATTTCCACATCAGTGGCAGCTGTAATTAAAAATAACAATGTGTTTGGGTTGTCTCTCTACCAGCCATCTCAGCTGCCATCATCATGAACCACATCACAGTTTAACAGAACTTCACATGTAAAATTCCAGATGGCCTCCAGATGGGGATATTCCTGTGTTCCCGGGGTCTGGGAAAATTGATACACTCATCTCTAGATAAACTAACATTGACCTCTAACTGCTGACAATCAAAACAGCACATTTTCAATAGATGGAGCATATGTTTCTTCTCAGATTTTCTGCCATTTCTGAGTGTTGAATCTTTTATTTAAAGCAAATAATATTAGGAGAAAGTCCTCAGTTTCTATTGAGCAAAATCAGACTGACCAGTGAATCTATTGCAAACAAGATGAGATATATAATCTCCATAGCATTGACGAAGTCTATCCTGTGGTCTCCTACCAATCGGATGTACCTGAAAAACCCCAAAGGAAGGTGCCCAGGAGGGATTTTGACCAGCTAAACACAAAGGAGCAGCAGCTTATGCTGTATCCACAATCTCGTTTTTTCTGTCACTAACCAAAGCTCATGACCATTGGTTGGAAAGTAGATCAACTGATAAATTGATAGTGGTGGTTCTTCAATGGCTTTGAAAATAATGCCGTGGGTAGAGCTTGAGGTTAACATCTTCGACAAAAATAAATAATCTTTATTAGAGATGAATTAATTAGTGAGTCATTGTATGGCTGGGTAAAAATGTCTTTGCTCTTTTGATGTAGTAGACTTCGCACTCCAATTTAATATATTTTTTCTTCTTGTCTATGTTACTGGTCAGAAGGTGATTATATGTAATTATTGATGTTATATTTTGAATTTCTCTTTTCTTCTGTTCAGATGGCAAGAAGATTCCAAACTGCACTGAAGAGTGTTTGCAAGAAACGTCACTCAAAAGAGCCACTGACATTGAGAAAATTCTGCTCAGCGTTCACCCGTCAATTAAAACATATGATCTTTGGATTTCTCATGAAAGTGTGACTGGGCAGAAGTATGTATCAAATGTTTATGACAGCTCGTATAATTAGCAATAATAAGATAACACACTGATAGTTGTCATACAGATATGCTCAGAGTAATGTTGATATATTGGTAATAATTGTCACTCAGCTATCCAGACTGATCAATCATTAATTTGTGTAATTGATGCAGTGTAGTAAGCCTATACAAATTCCAAGAGTATATTTAAATTAGAACCACTACTTTACAGACTTAGTGAAATGGGTTTTTTTTTCACCTTGTTTGTGTGTGTGATAAGTTGATGCAGTTCTCACAGTATTTACAGTAACTCAATTAGTAACCCTTATAATTGAATTACAGCTTTCACATAGATACTGGGAAGAGTTTTGGAGACATGGCAGAAGAAATGAAAGCTTCAGCTCAACTCAGTGTGACTCCACCACTTCTTTTGAAAGATCTCGGTATTACTGAGCAGCGACTTGTTTTCCTGAGTGAAGGTACACAGAAATCGGATTCTGAATGCCTAATTTAATAAAGTTAATGATTTTACAAATGCAAGGAAATCAGTCTATATGTATATCTGTATAGTGCATTATAGGCTGATTTAAAAAAAATGCTCATTCCATCAATAACTAGCAGTATCATTAATCACATGGTTACGATAATAAGATTAGACATTATACACAGTGATAGTACAGTGGTAGGGAATGAAGAAAGTTTCAAAGTGTAGGAGCCACAATTTCACAGCCACTGTCTCCTTTAGGTTTAAAGGACCAGTGTGTAGGATTTAATTGCATCTGGTTGGTCCGTTCTAGGCTACTGTAGAAACATTGCTGATCAACATAGTGGCCTCCATGGAAGGCACCTTGCAGCATCTGTAGATAAAAACAGCTTATTCTAATGTAACAAAAATCATGACGATTGACGAGGAACATTTCACATGTAGGTAGCTACAGAATTTGCAATTCCAAAGTCGCCAAGGTCTTGCTCATGGTGGGAACTGTTGGGTCTCTGTAAATAATGTTATAATGACTTCGGTCTAGACCTGCTCTATTTGAAAAGTGTCCTGAGATAACTTCTGTTATGATTTGGCACTATACAAATAAAATTTAATTTAATTTAATTTAATTTAATTTTTGCTTTTGTGCTCCCTGATGTGTAATGTTGGCAATTGGTCTTGCTGTTCTTTAATTACTTTAATTTTTCACAGACAACCTTGGTGTCTATTTTACTAAAAACAAGGCAACCCCTGCACTGATTGAGGTGTATGATTGTCTGGCTGGCAAAACCAAAAATGTGAATGTGGACGAATTAGCAGCAAGGTGAGTACTTCATTCTTTTAGTGTACTAAACCCCATTAAATATAAAATCAAGATAGGATTTGACAAAAAGTTTATTCTGGCATTCATGTAGTTTGTGTCTCTGAATTTAAATAAATTGAAATTTCCTCTTTCTTATCAAATTGGTAACAACGCTTTAAAGTAAATATCACAATTGGTCATGAAAGTCTGACGTTTATGTAAAAAGGTAAAGATATAGAGATATAACAACAATGTGCTGTACCATTTATTAATATTAACAGAGGCACTAGAATGCCCCAACAAATGTTATCACATCTGCTTTTACATAGAGTAACTATTATCTTAAGACTTTTAGTTTAAATTTGTGATGAAATTCTTAACTTTTCATGCAGAACTGGTGACCAGAGGGACGACAATTCATTTGTCACAACCAGGACTCCAAAAGAAGCCATTATGGTAATGCTGATTCTCTACTACTTTACATCTTTTAATGAATAACTAATATCTGACTCAATGCACCATCCAGTGGGCAGAATGGAACAAGCAGGCATTATTTTGAGATGTTTGTGCGCACAAAGACAGCAGCTTTAACTTTTAACTGTCCCATTGAATGGGGTCAGATATTGACCAGGAGATCTGTGAGTTAGATCCTGCATACATCATGCAACAGCAAATACTCTGAACCTCGGTTGGAGACCTCTATCTGATTTAGCCTTGTTTGTACACACTATTTCCTAAGTCTGGCTCGCTGTGTGGAGATGTTTTAATAGTGGTGTAATTTTGCAACAGTAACAGACAATGCTGTGGCTTGGGACAAGCACTATGGTTACCTGGCTGTCACCAGTGGAAAATAAAAAGTTTTGCAAAACAGGCACTTACGTCCTCAGAGGCCAAAGAGCAGGTGATTGAGCACCCCGATGGGTCTCTCTGCATGTGCCTGATTTGTTGCGTTATGTGGTGTGACAGTAACAGTTTTTGGATGAAGTAAATAAAATAAATAACTCATTAATTTCTTGACTTTAATTGTATCAGGTGCTGATAGATACAAGCTCATCAATGAAAAGAAATTGCTATGGAAGTGTGGAAATACAGAAAATTGATGCTGTTAAACAGCTTTTTGACAACTTTGCAACACGCACCATGGCTTATGATTTTCATCATGTCATTGGCCTTGCGAAGTTTGACTCTACAGTGGAAACTCTCCACACATTCACAGAAACACTGGAAAAGTTCAAGGTAAATACAAAACATTACACGTACCAGATCCTTGTTCAGGTCAGTACTGAAGGTTGAGATGTGTTCTGTCTGTATGGTATATAGCTTGGGCTGCTCAGTCATGAAACAAAAGGTTAATTAAACTAAATATACAGTTGTTATTTTTCACTTTTCAAGGAACATGTGCACAGCCTTATGACAAAAAAAATACTAAGATGTATGATGCCCTACATCATGGCATGCTTGAGTTGGAGAAAGTCAAGAAGTTTCCAGACTGTAAACGTCGCATCCTTTGTCTCACTGATGGAAAAGATTTCGGGTAATTTTCCTTCTCTATAGTAGTTTCCTATTTACTGATACTATTGCTAACATTTGGTAGTTTGGTGACTATTATCACTTTGGAATGAGACATTTAGTAGTGATGGTGAAGGTTAGGGGTAGGGGCTAGGGAAAGTATTATGTGTCAGGTTTCTCAAGAACATATTCTTTGTTCATAGATCCTCAAACAAGCCAGAAGTTGTTACTGCCAACCTGATAAAATCTAACATCATCCTGGATTCAATTCTTCTTGGAGAAAAGACAGGCACTATTATACGCGGAATCAGCAATGCAACAGGTACAGTATGAAAATCTCCATCCACTTTTCTAGTACCTTGAGTTTCCAATGAGGTTTTGAAAGTACTGAAATAGACCGTGGATGATTTAAATATAATGCATGCAGGCATTAAGTATGTTGTGGCCTATTGGTAGCTGGTACAGCTGTATAGTAGTTATTAAATCCTGTATATCTTATAATGATTGACCAATAATCCCTTTGCTGTGACAACTGTAAGGAGAATATTATTAATGGTTGTGTTGTGGTGTTAGGTTAGATGGTGTTGAAGTAATTTAACTAATTTACAAAAATATAATAATATAACACGTGATCTTATGTATGCTGTATACGAGTGATCATCAGCTAATCCTGGAAAAGAGTACTATTTGTGACTTTCATGTCAATTGGCAAAAAAAATAATTTCAAACCTGCAGGCGAGGAGCGTTACATGACCACATTGACATTTTAACCACATGGTTATGCATGAAGGAGAAACTGTCTGCAAAGCTGGTACTATTGTCTGCTATCAGTTTGTCAAAGGTTGATGAACAGTTGCATGTGACTAGTCAATTTAGTGGAGGCAATGGTTTCACAGTGACAAAGCGATTTAAATGATCAAATTAGAGGAAAATTAACTTTTAAAACCTTTTTTTAATCTATATTGCATTCAGGGGGTTGCTGTTTCAAGCCAGAGACAAGCAAAGATGGTCTGAAGCTATTTGAGATAGAGACGGTTCTCTCTTTGGAGATGAGGAAACCCAAGAACAAAGCTGACCCATCGTCCATCACTGAAGTTAGTACACTAATTATTGTCTACAGTTCAGTTTTAAGTGCTCTGAAAATCAGACACCATCACAGTAATGAATGTAAAACAGGCATCAACTTGGCAGATTATCAATGATGTGCTTGTTCATTTCCCCTTGGTATTTTTCAGAGTTTTTTAAGAGGGATCTCTGCTGCCAATGGGTATGATGAGTTTCCAGAGACTGCCTTGCCAAGCCAGATAAACAGTAAAGTGACACTGACAGAGAGGTAAGCGTCAGACCATTTTGAGAATTACTTTAGCACAGAGGTGAGTAGAAAGGTTGAGCTCAGAGGCTGTGTTTCATCTAATTACACCTTTTAAGAAAACACATGCTTTGTGCATTTAAGGTAAATGAAAATGATTTGGCTGTAATTTATCAGAAGGATTGGCCTAAGGATCAGTTTTTGTGGTGATCAGGAAGTTCCAGGATACAGACTGAGGGTTTTCAAAAGGCATTTGACCTCAGTAATTATAATTTAAACTAGACTAAAGTATAACAAGATTTGTATTAATATTTAGTCATTAATCTTTCAAACTAGTGCTCTGAAAAAGAAGATCCAGGATGCCAAAGTTGGGCAAATGATGGAAAAGGACAAACGTATCCTGGAGGAGCTGAAGAGCCTGCATCGTGACCCACATCCCTACTTTAGTATCTTTCCCTCAGAGTCTGACTTCAGTAAGTAGCTGTTCTGTCATGAAAATGTTTCCACCATGTTTTTTTATTGTAAATATTAAGTCTCTTTTGTATGTGACTTAACATGAAAAAAGATCACGTACTGTATGGTGAATCTTTTCACTTTTACTTATCAATAAACACACAATAACTAAGTGAGCTGTCTTAAATCAAACTTCACAACTGGCAAATGACCAGTGTGTAGCTTACCCAACTTATGTTTACAGCTTTCTTTCATATGTCAACAGTCAATTCAGTTAATGCAATATTGGAAAAAAGGGCAAAAGGTGTGTTAGAGTAAACCTTTCAATCTTGTTTTCTAAACTTTTCAGCATTCTGGAAGATTATCATGGAGGGACCTCCTGACACACCTTATGAGAAAGGAGTCTTTGAGTTGTTCTGCCAGTTTGGTGCTGACTACCCAGTGAAGCCTCCACTTGTTCGCTTTGTCACACCTGTATCCTTCCAAATAAAGAACAACTTCACATATTCAACCCAAGAAACAATGTATTACTGTTGTTTCATTGTGCTCAGGACGAGATAGAGTCTCCTTGTTCATCTTTCATGAGCACAATTTAGATAGAAAAATAATAAAACATTTCTAATAGATGGATTTTTATGTCAGTGTTTCCAGAAACATTGACATAAAAATGACTTTACTGTACTTTAATTGCAGTATAATTTTCTTAACATGAACAAGGTGTACCACTGTAATATTAACAGTGTGGGGCGCATCTGCCACAACATATTTGACCGGAACTACAATGCCCAAATCACCATGAGAGATATCCTCAATGCTGTGTATGGACTGCTCATCATCCCTGAGCCTGAAGATCCATTGGACAGGTTAGATATCAGCCCCAAAACACTTATAATACTGTACACACATACATACACCCAGTTAGCTGCTGATACAAATGAGATCTACACCGATCAGCCATTACATTATGAGCACTGACAGTGAATAACACTGATTATGTGGTTATCAGGGCTCCTGTCAGTGGGAGGCTATATATTAGGCAGCAAGTGAACATTTGGTCCTCAGAGTTGATGCGTTAGAAGCAGGAAAAATGGGCAGGGTGAGGATTTAAGTGACTTTGACACAGGCCACATTATGATGGCTAGACGACTGGGTCAGACCATCTCCAAAACTGCAGCTCTTGTGGGGTGTTCTTGGTCTACAGTGGTCAGTACCTATCAAACGTGGTCCAAGGCAGGAAAAGAACCAGAGACAGGGTCATGATGCACATGGTGAGTGAAGACTGGCAGTGTGGTTCGATCCAACAGACGAGCTACTGTAACTCAAGCTGCTGAAACACCTAATGCTGGTTCTGATAGAAAGGGGTCAGAACACACAGTGCAGAGCAGTCTGTTGGTACGGGACTGCAGAACATTATGACCACCATGGTGCCCAGATGCTCACAATGTTATGGCTGATCGGTGTATATGTATGTATGTATGAGTAAAAGAGAGTCGCCCCTTCAGTAATATAGTAAGTATAGTATAAGGTATAAATAAAGGTTGAATATTAGTGACACTGGCTTATATTTATGTACTAGTCGCCATTATTGTGTAATCATTCTCACTATTTCTAGTCTCTTATTGTTTGTGTTCTTTCTGCAAGCACACTGTGACAAAATAAAAATCATGTCTTTTTGCAGATGACTTGCACATGAAATTAAAAAATCTGAATTCTTGGCAACATTTCAGAGTCTGTAATAAAAGAAACAAAGACAAAAATATCATAAATAAAGCATTTGAATTAAAAATGTGTCTCTTTCTGTGGAAGCATTCTGGCCGAGGAATTCCTGACCAGCCCTGAGAAGTATCAACAGGAAGCCAGGATGCACACCGAGGAAACTGCTGCACAATCACGGGATGATATGGAGAAGGTATGTTCCTTTTATATACAAAAGGTGCTTTCAAATAAGAGAATCAGTCTGAATATGTGCACATAGCAAATATACTGTAACTTAAATCAGAGCTCAGTGCTTGCACAGATCAACAGCTCACATATAAGCTTCACAAAGGGCTGTTGTAATGTGTTGCATTATGTTGAGAAATGTTCCTGATACTCTATCTGCCCTCTGAATTCTATTTACAGTATTTATAATAACTGGCATATTACCTTTTTTTTTTTTTTTACCATATATTACCTTTTTATTACATTTTTATAGTCGCATCTTTGTTACAATGGTACATTCATATGACATGTTGATATTTACTGTCTTTACTTCTGATTTGGAAGAAATGGGTGGATCCTGGGAAACAACATATACCCCCTCATCTGATCTGTCCACTCACCAAAAAGATGTTTAGGGATCCAGTAGAAACAAAATACGGAAACGTGTATGAGCGAAAGGCCATTGAAAAACACCTCAAATCGTGAGTATATTTATTTTTGTATTCATTATTGTTCAGCACACTATAATGTCATTATTATCATATTTGCCTTGGAGTACCTCCCCAGTATTTACCTACAGTTTGGGTTTATTTTTGTAACAATAACCAGATAAACAAAAACCACAGTGAAATTTGTGATAGGTGTCTAGGTGTCTATCTATGCAGGTCAGAATATACTGTATCTGTCCAAAGCTCGTTGCTCGGTTTGGATGTGAGACTTAAAATTCAGAAAGCCTGCATGACAAACTGGAAGTGAGATCCCAGACAGCCATACATTGTAACCCAAAAATGGAAAAAGAAATCTAAAATACAGTAAATTATTGTTCCAGTCCACTGTATGTATGTGAGTTTTGGGGTAACCAGCCAACAAAACCGTATCATGTGAATAAATTGGCTCATGAAAGAGGTCTATTTTTATTTTTATTTTTAATATGACACTAATTACCTTGGAAATAAATGTCCAGAATCTGGATCTTAGTTTACACTCCCAGAAGCCGTGGGAATCTTTTATTATGTCTCCCTCAGTCTGTTTCAATGTTCAGATCTATACCTGAGCCTGAAACCTCAACCATTTAAGAAAGTAAGCCAGCAAGGTTAAAATCTGTCTAGTTTATCTCCTCTTTTTCTACTAACTGAACATTGTTTTACAGAAACAAACACGATCCACAGGCCCCAGAACAACTGCTCACCACAGCTGATCTTAAACCAGCACATGAGATGAAGAAAATGGTGAAGGATTATCGCTCTAAACAAATTCAGTAAACGTTAGAGCTACAACGCTGCCATTTTACATCACTTTCTCAAATAAACACAAAATAGGATAGGAAAAACTAAATGCAAGTTCATGTTGTTTGAGTGTCACATCATTCTGTGTAATCGTTTATTTTACTATTAATTACTTTGAGTTACACAGAAGAATAGTATAGTTATGACAAACTGACTGATTTGAATTATGTAAAACAATCTTAGATTAAATAAGTTTCATATTTTAGAAACTTTTATTTTTATATTGTAGAGCTCATTTTTAATGACTTTCACATTCAGCACAGATGTTCCACCACCGGCAGTCACAGGATTGTAATCTACTCCCTGACTGACAGCAATAAACAGGCCTGTAATTTGTATATTCATCTATGCCTGAGAAACACAATGTTTTTTATCTGTAACTCATACTGTTCAATTATACTCTTAACTGTATGTCAATAATTACTGATTGATCCTTTACCCTGAACAGAAATTGATGATGTAATGATGATGATTCATGTGGGATCGGCAGTGAAATTTCTTCTCATGTTGTCTGAAGCACAATTTCTCTATTTTTGCTGCTTTTGTTATAATTAAGATTTTCATGCCTACTGATGATGACGTTGGTAAAAACCGTGAATAAAAGTAGACGCGACTGTGTTCAATTCATCTTTTTACTTCAAAGAAAATCTGAGTGGAGCTGTGTTGTGATTGCACTATAATAATCTGGTCATGATATTACAAATTAAAATGAAAACTAAAAAGGTGTCTTTTTGTACAAACAGTTAAAAGAAAAATCTTTTTATTCACAAACAGTCACAGGTTTGACTGACAGCTGTTATCAGTGATTTTGGTTTTGAATATTTGAGCAAATCAAAAGGTTGAATAATAATGACAGACTGAATTTTATATAAAAGAGATGTTGCAAAGTGCTTCAAAGGCCAGAAAAGACAAGATATTAAGCAAAAACACAAAAATAAAGGAGCACAACAAGGAAAAATATTTTAAAAACCCAATATAAAATTTAAATACTTCACCAATGTAACAAGGAAACAGAAGCATACATTAATCATACACACAGATTTTTAAGAATGTCACCTTAAAATAATAAAAGTGCTTTTTATTGTTCCCTCCATCAATCAGTCCATTACAGTGTCAGTCAGTACAGGGAGCTGGATATTGGCATTGGACAGAAAAGATTGAATCCAGTTAAACTAACTCTGTCCCTGCAGTGGTTTATAAAATCAACTCATCAGGAAGAACTTCTGAATAATTCCCTGCAGCTGCACTTGAATCAAGAATATTACACAATCAGCATTCAACTCTGCTCTGTAGTGACCCACATTCAGAAGTTACACACATTCTTTACTCAAGTAAAAACAAGCTCTAAATATATATTATATATAAACATATAAAGTACTCTCTTGGTTTCTCTGAAGGATTTCTACCGATTGTTTCTGTGCAAAGTGGAGTCTCTCTTTCTTGTCTGAATCGTCTTAAGTTGTTACGTTTTGTTACATCAGTCATGTGTGATGTGCAGCATTCTTTAAAGTGTATATACTGTCAAAGATTAAAGCTTGAATCTAAATGCCTAACTGCATTTTATTGTCTTAGTGGTTGTACTTTGTTCAATGACAATAAAGTTGAATCTAATCTTAACCAATCTTATCTAAATGAAGCATAAAATAAAGTACACTTGATACTTGGCACATTTTGCTGATGATACTTGTTGATACTTAAAGAGCCACCATGAGGTCAAGCAGGGGAAGTTACCTGCTATCATCATCCAGTTTACAGTGAATATAAATGTGAAGCTCTCACATACCTTCAGACTGTACTGACTGTATGAACCTTTAGAAAAACACATGTAGACGTCAGAACATTGTCTACCAGAACTCAGTGCTTATTGCTTAATTGAATGAAATGGATGAATGAGACAGAGTGGAACATAGTCCCAGTTACTAAAGACTCAATGTATGCAATTAATGGTTTATAAAATGGCCTCTGTTTAATGTGCAAGCTGTTTTTTTTTTTTTTTTTTTTTTATCAACCAGGATGTTTTTCTGAAGGTAGCTGATGAAAAAAGATTTGGATTTGGTAGCTGGGTCACAGAATCAAAGATTATACAGCATGGGCTTCAGGATTGTCCATCTGTACAGGAAGATATTCTCTCTCTTGTCCTCCTGTACACATCAACAACACAAAACAGGTTATCAGTCAGTGATTTCCAAACTGAGTGTTTTCTGTAGTTTGAGTGCTCTGGGTTGAGTTTAGAGGAAAAGTCAAATTTGTGACTTACTGGCAATTAAGTTCATAGGCATTCCCTCAGCATTGGCCTCATCATTGGCCCCATCATTGACCCCTTGTCCAGCTGAACACATATCAACAACACAAAACAAGTTATCAGTCAGTGATTTCCAAACTGAGTGTTTTCTGTAGTTTGAGCGCTCTGGGTTGAGTTTAGAGGAAAAGTGAGAATAGGATGTAAAAGGACAATTATTTTATCAGCCCAAGCAGAGTCAGTCAGCAGTGGAGTGATGACACTTGTTGTTATTGACAGTGAGGAACTACAAGTAAAGGAGCTTGTCCCAGATCAACCATCATAATCAGACAGCAGGATAGTGAGAAAGCTCAGACACACTGTACATGAGAGGCTTCTAACTGGTTCAGCAGAAAGGTCAGATAGATGAATGCATGTGAATGTTTGTGTGCTTACTCACTGAAACAGCAGGGGCAGATAGAACGTACACTGATATTGGCCCCAACATTGGCCCATGATTGTCCTGAACACATATCAACAACATATATCAACATACCGAAAAACCCATTTCACTGTTCACTGTTGTTTGAAGACAGACTGTAAAACTGTCTTTTTAAATGGAGAAAATGGAGAGAGAGAAGATTATTGACTTACTGATCTTTCTACGATTCATCCACAATACAACCAATGCAACAACAATGGCAATGACAGCAAAGACACTGACAGGTATGCCTACAGCCATGCCGGTTATAGCACCAGTGCTAAAACCAGTGCCACCACCTGAAAGAACAGAGGAAAGATGTTGAGATTTGTTCTTCACTGTTCCAAGATAACATCCATCAACAATATTTCCACAGCCACTTCTCCTGTTCATGGTCTCAATGTGTACTTGGAGTCCATCCCACCAAAACTGTCTGTTGGTTAGAATCTCTTTCATTGCACAACAGTAAACAAACAGTATTATCAGTGAGAATATTCTCCAGAAATACGAGGATCCAGGGTTATTTAAAGGACCGCTGTGGAGGATTCAGTGCCATCTAGTGGTGAAGTTACAGATTGCAAACAAGTGAATAAAACTTCCAAATGTGTTCTGGGCTCCTGTAGAAACATGGCGGTGACAATAGATCCTCCTGATTGTTACACACTGGACCTTTCAGTAGTCCTCTATCAGTGTGCTCTGAGATGATGAATGAGTTCATTATTTGTTAGAATGGCATCCTGTCAAATGAAGCATTACATTCAGAATTGCTCTGATTACTTTTGAGGTTAAAGAGGTCATATTATGCTCATTCTCAGGTTCATATTGTAAGGAGGAGAGAAACAGGAGTGATATCTGTGTACATTGTGGACTGCAGTAAAGACAGCACTTACCTGGCTCTGTGTCTGTGGAAACAATGAAATAAAATATTAAAATATGTGATAACATTCAGACCAAGAGGAGATGACAGCTGATGAGGAGATAAATAAGATATTTACTTACTGGTATTATTAGTCTGACCTCCCACTGGCTCTGTTGGAAAATTAATACAAAACCTTTAACACGTGACAAATAGAACATTTCCTCTTATTTCATTTGAATGTGTAATATATTAGCTGTACTCACCAACAGTGAGGTTAATGAAGCCTCTCCTGACCTGACTTTGCAGTTTGGGAACAAAGCAGGTGTAACTTCCAGCATCCAGTTCAGTTACGTTGGTCAGTTTTAGTGAAATGTTTCCTCTGATCATTTCTTCATGGAAGAGAGATGTTCTACCTCTGAAGTTCTCATCCTGATCAGTTAGATAGTCCTTCTCATGGCGCCAGATGTGGACATATTCTCTATCATGTGTCCACTCCACTGTTAGAGTCCTCACATTGAATGGAGGCTCCAGGTGACATGGCAGGATGACGTTATCACCGACTGTTACTGTAACTGGTTTGTCTGAGCCAATCACCTCAGACTGTCCTGCAGAGACAAACATCATATTTACACTTCCTGTTACAGAATCATTAAACACTGATATTAAAATATTTCATTAGTACAGCATTAGTGGTGGACTGATATGGTTTTAATGGTTAATACTGATATTTAGAGAGCAGGGCGGCTGATGGTCGATATTTAATACTATTTGCTGTATTTATAATGCATGTTGAGTTAAATGTTGTTTCAAACTGATTTTGTATTGATTAGTGAAAGAGAAAAATACACTGTGGGGTTCAGAATGGGACTGGTATTTGAGGGGGAGTCAGACAGTACACTCATATGTGGCATTATTAAGAGGCTAGGGGAGGGTTAGCTTCACACAGTGCTGTCAGTATCACAGTGATCTGAGGTCAGCAGCACATTATTCAGTACCCACACACTGCTGTCCAACACATTATTATTGTTATTATTATTATTATTATTATTATTATTATTATTATTATTATTATTAATAATAATAATAATGTTATTATTATTAGTTGTAGTAATATTGGTATTAATGCTCTAGTGTATTAATTGCAATAAAATAACAGAAAAAAAGTGAATGTTGCACATTTTATATTTATTTTCTCTTACTGTATTTATTATCATATTGTAATTATTAGTCATTTTCATAAGAGAGCAATAAAGAAGATGACATAAAACGGCTCTGTGTGTCTTTCAGCAGTACTCAGAGGCCACCCTTACCATAATAACCCTACTGTAGGTGCAGCCACATCCGGACAGCAGCTGACGGTACCGCAGTAGTTAATGGAGGTGAGTAAAAAAACACCGTGAGGCCCGGTGGGCCGCGCGCCAACAAAACTTAAATCACGCAACAAATAGCGAAATAAACTAAATAATAAACCATTATCATATGGTAAATGATATATAGAATAAAATATTGTAAGTTTTGGCTATAATACAAGTTAGTAACAGTCCATGAGACTTACCTGTGGCTGCGTCCATTACAGCAAAAATCAGAACCAGTCCGATCAGGAGTTTATTCTGGGTCCCGGTGAGGAGAGAGCGGGTGGAACAGCACGCAGCAGCCCGGAGACAGAGCACCGAACCCGGGGTCTTTTTTCTCGAAGACTCTCCGTCCACTTCCTCATTAAAGATACCCTTTATCTGATATTCAGCCAACCAATCAGACGGAGGTCCGAGTCAGTTTCGCTTTAAGTGGGATCCTGGTTGTTACTGTCACTGGTTTGTCTGAGCCAATCACCTCAGACTGTCCTGCAGAGACACACATCATATTTACACTTCCTGTTACAGAATCACTGACACTGACCCTAATCGAGAAATTATTTTCAGAAACATTCAATTAGTACAGTACTGGTGGACTGATATGGATTTTTTAATGGTCAATGCTAATATTTAGAGAGTAAAAATAAATATAAAGTTATGTATAATTCCATTATTCCATGCACATTACAATCTAATATACATACTTATATGAGCCAGTAAAATACAGTTTTAAATATATTTTTTCTTAATTAATAACAGAAAAATACTGAAGGTTTCAGAATGTGACTGGTATTTAAAACAGAGTGGGGTACAGTCATCCAACTGCATTGTTCTATACATTATAACATATATTTAACACTAGCCAGCAAAGGTTTGAGATTTGATTGTCATTTAGGAGACACATGTTAACATTTATAAAAGATGATGGATGAAACGTTTACAGCAGTAAGTGAGTTATAGAACTAATGCATCAAACAAAGTTTTTCACCAATGTAATATAAATGTTTAAGAACCTACATGACATCAAGGTTACGCTGATTTTATTGGTTCCACATGTCAAAGATCACAGTTAAAAGATGCACTAACTCTGCTACCCTCTTCCCAACTCCAGGTGATGGGCAGCAGCATGTATTAGCTGAAGCTTGCTCTCACAGGCCAGGTTGACCTTTGCCTTTGGGCAAATAGAAAAACTCTTAAAATCCATCGGTAAATCTATTGCTCCTCACACCCTTGTAACTGAACTTCTTGATACTGTGTTGTTACCTAAACAAATTGCAATCTGCAAATGTGCCGCCGTCTCTGTGTTATCTCTGATGCCAGCGAGTTACCTGTGGCGCCGGAGGGGCAGCAGATGGAGAGAACTGGGCTGTGTGTTTCTGCTGACTGCCACCATCGCCCTGCCTGTTACCACTACTTGAGACGCCTCAGTCAGAACAAAACAAACATCACAACACTCTTTTGAGACTATAAAATGCTCAAAGCCATACACAACAGGCTATTATATGCATAAACCTTTGTTTCACCCTGTTTCCAACTACACTTTATGTCCAGGTAAACAGCAGGATGTTGAGACTTCACCCGAATATCAAGGACATGATAAGACACATCGATATGCTTGTTTGTTGGCACACCTGGGCACCCTGGTGGTCATAATGTTCTGCAGTCCCGTACCAACAGACTGCTCTGCTCTGTGTGTTCTGACCCCTTTCTATCAGAACCAGCATTAACTGTTTCAGCAGTTTGAGCTACAGTAGCTCGTCTGTTGGATCGAACCACAGGGGCCAGCCTTCACTCCCCATCTGTATCAATGAGCCTTGGCCGTCCATGACCCTGTTCACTGTTCTTTTCCTTCCTTGGACCACTTTTGATAGGTACTGACCACTGCAGACCGGGGACACCCCACAAGAGCTGCAGTTTTAGAGATGTGCGGACCCAGTCGTCTAGCCATCACAATGTGGTTCTCTGTAGAGTCTCACAGAGCTAACATTACCAACGTTGAGACAAGCGGCGATGGACAGACTGCCTTCACAGTCTCACTGCAGTTTCACTTTTGTGTGCAAGGTGGAGTCAATGGATCTTTGTGTGTCCTGACATTTGGATAATAACAGATTACACAACACAGGCAGCAACAAACAACTAGTTTAAAAACTAGTTTTACAGCATCTATAACAGCCTGTTATCACAAATAATGGATATGAAACAACTTTATGATGTTTCCACCCAGCAGCTGAATCCAAACCAAGACCAAGACCTCCACTGACACTGACTCTTCAACCCACCACCCGCCCTGAATATATGCTTTTCATAACTGCACTTCCCCTGGATGAAAAAAAAAAAAGTCTGAAGGAAAATTTGGAAATAAAACAATTGATTGATTTCTAATGCCACCTTTATATATTTCTATTCAGTGCCAAGCAAATATTGATACATGTGATTGTGACTCCATGAATATTTCTTTGGATCCACCCCTGACACAGAGCAGGGATGATTGATTGTAATTGTGATTTTTGGACTGTATAATTACAATTTGACATGACTCTTTTGTGTGTGAAGCACAAAGATTACATTCAGTATTTCTGGCTTGGATTCTTTGTTGTTGCTTATTAGAGAGGAAATCAGCGTGAGAGGTGGTGTAGGTGTTGTATGGCTTATTAAATGGAGTTGGAGGCAGAAACTCTTCCCTTCAACCAAGTAGTCATAATGTATCGGGTTCTTTGGCCCTTGGGCATCAAAAACTGACCATCTTGGATATTATATTTAGATCCTTTGAATGATTGCTATCAGCATGCAATACTGAATTGTGTTCCATATCTTTATGGTAGACTGAAATGTGAATGGCTCCAGTTAGATCCAAGTAACGGATTTTCTTAGCCCTGAGTCCCCATCACTCAGTGATACTGAGTTATTGGGGTCATATGATTTCAGAAGGTCATATCTTAAAAACAGGAAGAACACAAACCTGTTATTCTGCATCATCACTGTCATTGACAAACATTATTTCATTCAATATTTTGAATAATATGTCTTCCAGTATTTGGTAGCTGGGTCAAAGAGTCAAGGCTTATCATCAAGTACTAGTTGGTGTTTCTTCTTCTTCTTGGTGATTCTACGTATCAGGATTTCCCCCAAGATCGTCGGTCCAGGATCGTCCCTGTTTACAAGAAAATACTCCCTCCAATGTCCTGAACACATATCAACGACACAAAAGTTATTAGTCAGTGATTTCTGTTGTTCTGTTGCATAATATGGCCTCATTAAGACTGGTGCTGTGCTGGGTTCTGCATTATATAGATCAGATCTCTGCTCAAAACCTGGTTCTATTTAAATGCATTTCATTGATGATTCCCTGATTAGTTGTGTCAATGAGAAAGGTGTAACCCGTAGAGATGAACCTATATGTGGGGTATAACAGAATATTGTGAGAAATATATCTCTGGTGAAAAACAACAAAGACTAAATGAATCACAGGCAGGTACACACCGTCTGCACTTGAGAACCCCCAAAGCACTTTAGTGCCACCTTCAGGCGATAACAGATAACAACATAGCACTCCAAACCAGCACTGGTACTGCAACAGTACATCCTCACTGTTGTTTGTTGCACTTTGTCACATTTAGTTACTTGTTTCTTCTTTTCTACTTATATTACCTGTAAGTGCTTACATTTTGTTGCATTTAGTTAATTGTTTGATTTATTTTATTTTAGCCTTTATTTTATTTTATTTTACTTTATTTTATTTTATGTTAGCTTATTTTTTACTCTAACCCTGTAGTACTTTACTTTACCACCTTTGTATTGAAACTGTTGCACAGTAATTTCCCTCGGGATAAATAAAGCTTCTTGAATCTTGAATCTTGAAAATACCTTTATATATATAATTGTTTCTCTGTCTGGCCCACAGTTTTACTGTTTCGGTTAACCATTTTCCTTGGTGGATGGCAGTAATAATTAGTATGTCAGAATGCATGTAGTTGTCTCACCCGTCTGTCGGTCAGTATTGATTACAAAATGTGCATCTCTTCTGTGGCTAATGTTAATTTCATTATGATCCTTACTGCATAAAGTGTGTAAATATACAACTGGCCCATTTTTGGGTGAACTAAATATGCAAGAGTAGTCATACACATCACTGTTAATGACACGGGCCAGTTATTCATTCCTGGACTGCAGGCCACCTTTATGTTCCAAGGTTGTGAAAAATATAATAATGACTTTTTCCCATCTTTAATGCAATCAGAAATGAGAATCAATAAAAAAATGTTTTTTATCAAAACTCTTTAATTGTTATTTTTTTTGTCCATTTCAATGAACATTGGGTCCAAACAGTTGTTAAAATACCAACATCATATGACAACATCATACCTATTTTTTGTCTTACAATTGTCACATTGACATCACATGGAACATGAGCTTGAACAGTTCAAATGATGTTTTTTTGTAAGGTCCAAACAGTTTTAAAATATAACATCATAGATTTTTTTTGTTTGTTTGTTTGTTTGTTTGTTTGTTTGGTTACAATTTACCAACAAAAAAAGCTATAGAATCTCACAATTCTGTCACTACTGCCTCATTTTCTGTGGGCATATTTGAAACAATTTCTCTGTGACACAAAACAGAAGTGCACCTTGCACTTGTCACAGTAGACATGTGTTTTTCCTGAACAGCCTGGCAATTTGCACCTTGTTGCTTATTTTTTTTGCATCATAATTTGGCATGTGGTCCAGCATGTCGGTCTGCACCTCTTGAATGGGCCGTTTTTCCATGGCTCCTCTCTTTTTTGGTGGCTCATCATGGTGAGTTGGACTCGTACATGGACTGGGTGTGTTGGAACTTCATTTTCTCAATGCGCGGCGCTTCCCCATGTGCACAAGAGCTTCTGCCACATTCAATTTGAAGTCAAGGAGATCCATGACTTGCTGTGGCTGAGTGCCCTGGCGTTCTTTGTCTCTGCAATACTCAAGCCAGCTGTTCACTACAGCAACATCAAAGGCATGAGTAATCATGCGCCCATTTGCGGGACCGGATGGTAATCCTGTAAAGGCTGATGAGTTGATCAAGCTTGTCCACCCCTCCCATGGTCTTGTTGTATTTCTTCACCACCTCTGGACGCTTGACCTTAAGGAACCGCCCATCTTTCTTCTCCCACCTAGCAACTTCGTCTTCATCTCCTACACCAACAAAGTTGGAGGCCAGCACAACAGAGCAGTTATCAAACCACTTCACTAGAACCACCTTTCCATCCCTACTCCTCACTTCATCGGGTTCCCTCGCTCTTTCTTTGACATTTCTTTGTCACTCTTCAGTGGGGGCTTTGCAAAGCAGCCAACCCTAGCTGGGCCAGCCGCATGGATTTTCTTTTCTGCCAGCACTTCAAGGACATTGTAGGTGGTGAAGAAGTTGTCAAAAAGAGCTTGTGGTTAGGAGTCTGGATTCTCTGGCACAGGTGGGCAACCACACCTGCTCCATGTCCTAAAACCTTCTTCCTTAAAACCTTCAGAGAGCTCTGTTGTGGCACCTTGATAGATGAGGAAGTCATAAGCAAGGCCACTTTGGCTGCAGAGGAAATATATCTTGACTCCCCATGGTTCTGGCTTCCCTTTGATATACTGAAGCACAGAAAGTTTCCCCTGAAAGGCACAATCTGCTCATCAATAGAGAGATGTTCCTCCACTTGCAGCTCTAGACAGCATTTCCTTATGGAGTCATAGAGTGGTCTGGCCTTGTAGAACACATCAGTGTCTTCAGAAGGCCTCTCATTGTTGTTCACCACATGCAGGTTGGAGCGAAGCTGTAAAAATCGGTCACGAGACAGGGTATCCCGGAAAAGGCTGATATTGATACTGGAAGACCAGTACATTCACACTCTTGGCAAACCCAGTGCCCCCATTGCCAAATGTAGACCAACAAGGGCTTCAATCTCAGAAATGTATGCATGTTTATACCCCCTGACTGCATTTTGTTCTGCATAGATGTTAGTCATTGTTGTCATCAGCTAGAACATCTCACTGGGAACATACTGCTTGAAGTAGCCATATGGTGTTAGTGGCTCAGGGGGTTCAGGAGCAGGAGCAGGACTTTTGTGTTTGCAAAAGGGCCATCCTCAAGTAACAGGTTTCTATCTGCCTCCTCAGGCTTATAATCCTCTCTGTCTTCCTCATCCTGACCTTCCACTGCCTCAATCTCAACTTCTTCCCCTATCAATAGTACCTCTGCCTCATCCCTGTCTTCCCCTGAAATCATTAGCAAAACATTATCTGTCTGTGCTATGTCACCATACTGTTCCTGAGTATGTAAGGGCCCTAAACTTTGTATTCATTTAATTTATTTATTTAAAATCTTATATGTGATGTTATGTGATGTTTATACTAAAACTATTTTTCAATATGACATTCTATGACATCTATCAGCATCTCCATCTTCCTCATCGCTTCCAAGAATGTCAATATCAGAGATATTTCCATTGTCGATCAGTTCAAGGACTTCAAGGGCTGTATATTCTGCATATGGAATATTTCCAACTGATTATCAACTCATTCTCTTGTTCTGATGTACTGTTTTTATAGTAATGTCATTCATCAATACTGGCGAATTGAGTTCAATAACATGGCTTCTGACCATTCCGTCCATTCTAATGGACAGCGATATTTGAAAAAATCCTGTGTAAGAACTCGCAATGAAACATGTGATATTACACTTCTATTCATACATTCCATCTTTCAATATTATATCAAAACTATGAAATCTTGGCACAAATATCTATAAATGTGACTAAACTTTTGAAAATGATCCTTACTTCGACGTGTGGGGTGAAGCCCTGCCATGCCTCTCTTCCGTGTGGTGGATTTTTTTCATACGTCGACAAGCAAAGCTATACTGTCGTTTGATTGGTTGTTAAACGTTCAATTCAATGGACTTGAGGGTTCAAGTGGTGTTAAATGTTGCAAAAAGTAAAAAAAAAAAAAAAAAGCCCCTGTCATGTGACGTCCATTGTAATGAGCATACCCACTCTCCCAAGCACCACTACACCACTGGTTGCTCCATAACTGCTGGATGTGTAAATAAGCTGTTTGCTAAAAGGTTCACCATATCAGCTTTAAACATGATGATATGTCAGTGTTGTGTTCATATCTTGCTTTTACTTCCCCTCAGTGGACAACAGGTCAGATCAGTTACTACAGGTTTCATTATTCACTCAAATAAATAAGTCTATTTTTATAACTGTGAAGCACCAAATGAATAACAATATCTGATACTTTCAATGAGTTGGTTCAGTGTTTATCAGGAGAAAATCATACTACTGATAAATAATAAGAAAGAAAGAAACTCAATACCAGTTCAAGTACAGTGTGACCACTAACTGGAGAGGTGTTGTCTGCCAATCTACATCTCCATCCTCCTGTCCAGCAAGTGGCGATAATGTACGCGCCGGCGGGTGTCACACAGGAAGGCCGAAGCTCTCTGGATAACGTGGCCGGGTTCGGTGCTCTGTCTCTCGGCTGCTGCACGCTGCTGCTCCCGCTCTCTCCTCACCGGTAACCATCGGTGACTGTACGCACTGGGGACACTGGGAACACTGTGAACCACCGGTGACTGCGCGCACTGGCAACACTGGGAACCAGCGGTTACTGGAAGCTTCATTACAAAAAACGAAAGTGAAAGTATTGAATGACTCAGCTCATTAGATTAAAGACTCTCTGACACATCGAGGCAGTGATGAAGTGGGAAGCCGGACTAATTCTTGCTGTATTGGTTTGGATTTTTATATTAATCAGTGCAGTCAGAGGTAGGACTGACAAACTGTTACTAACCTACATTATATTTAATTCAATACAATTCAATATTATATATTTAATTGCATTGAATTTCATTTAATTATATGTTGTGTTTTTACTTTAGGATAATGATTCATTAGTTATTCTGCAGATTGTTGCCGGGTTAAAGTTCTCTTGGCGCAGGAAGGCCCATCAAGGCCTCATCCACCGTAAAGTGGATGGTGGATGACAGTGTTTGTTTTTAATATTTAAAGATGTCAGATTAAAACCTCATGTGTAACTCTTTTGTATAAGATTACAACCTGACTGTGACCACTGATACACATACTGATTAAAATGAGTCATGCTGTGGTTTATTTTTCCTCTGATGTCTGTTTGTGGCCTTCAGGTACACGCCTGTTCACCTTTAAGTGAAAAACAACGCTGTCATTGTTCCACTTTGGTTCTTTAAAAAAAGGTTTAATGTTCCACATCATTGACCCTTTATCTCCTCAATCTGGTCTCTCTCTTTGTTTTAGAGAGCGTAGCCTGACTCTAAAGGTACGATGTGGTTCAACCTGCTGATCCAAACTATTTCTGGAATAATCGATGGAATAAACTCACTTTACACGCTTTATAATAAAGCTCCAAATCATACAGGCCACTTAAATGATAATTAACTAATGCATGACTCATGGTTTAATACTTGAATGTAATGCAGGATCCATCCTGTTCCTCCCTGTTAACAAATGATCGATTTAATTAGTTCATACTTAATCATCAATAAAGGAATGTTAATTCAGTTATACCTTAATTAATACGCCACCAAATTAGCTGGAATTAAGTTACATCATTTATTTTGTATTTATCCATTAATGCCGTCACCACCCACTGTTTCTTATATTTTATTGCTTTCAGTAATAAACATACCATAACATTTTATTTAACCTTTTCTTTTCTTTTCCTTTTCTTACTAAGCACAATGCCAGCATCTAACCATCAAAGTAAGGAAGCGCAGTGCATTTACCAAAGAGAGGATAATTACGAGTTTATCATCATTACCAGACGATTACCATGACATCGTTTGCTTGTAATTATGAGAAAAGGTTTTATATTAATTAAGGCTAAGGTATAAGTAGTGTTAAACTGAAGTTCTGGAATTAATTCATCAATATGAGAGAGGTTGTGATATTTCCTCTTTGGTAAATGCTCTACGCTTCCATAAATAAACCAATGATACCAGCTGCTTCAGATTGGCCTGTTTAGTCCTGACAGTGTGTAGTACAGCTTTAGGGTTGCCAGGTCGGCTCAGGTATCCACCATATCATATCTCTTATTTTTATTTATCTTGTATTTCTTCCACAGACACAGAGCCAAAGCCAAAGGCAGAGGCAAGAATTGGTCGTGGTAAGTAAAACTGAAGTGCTGTCTTTACGGTAATTTATTACGTACATGCAGATATCTCTCCTGTGTCCTTTGCTCTTCATTCCACAATGTGTTGTTTGTTACTAACACATCAACCTTATCAAGCCCGGTTGCTCTTGAGTTGAGACTCAAGACAGGTGGTAGCGCTGTCTGATGACGTTTCACTCGTATCTAGGCAACACAGCATCATTAAATTCCATCATTTCAACTCTTACACACTCTTCATTCGCCTAAAAGATGAGCTGTTGCCAAGCAGTCCCCGTTTTAATGTGTTTCATAAACAGTCTGACAGTCTGATGAGATCGGCTCTGTTTTTTTGTCCACAGACACAGAGACAAAGCACCAGCAGGATCGTGGTAAGTTAAATAAAAGTGCTGTTACTCTATCCTGTTATATTCTGTACCTGCAGATATCACTCTGTTGAATCTGGAGGGTGTCAGGTGTTAAAGATCATCAGGTATCCACCATATCTCACTTATTTTATTTTATGTCTTGTTACAGAAAGGGACCTGTTGACGTGCCAGCCGAGCCCAGTTGTAGCAGCAGTGGGAGAGGACGTCACTTTGGACTGCCACTTGAAGCTTCGACGCAATGTGACGCACAAAACAGTTGAATGGACATTCAACGAGTCCGAGCTCGTCCTTGTTTACAGGAGTCGGGGGTTTTCTGCTAACCAGGCAGAGCGATTCAAAGGCAGAGCATCTCTGGACAGCAGTGGGAAGCTGTCGGAAGGGAAACTTCCAGTGAAGATCTCTTCAGTGGGTAAAACTGACGCTGGGACGTACAGCTGCTCTGTTGGAACTGGAAGAGAACGAATCTCCTGCAGTACTGAACTCATCGTTGGTAAGCAGTACAGTGTAACTCCTGCTTTCATTGCTTGGTATGCTTGTTTGGGTATTTGAATATGTCTGCATACTGGGGTCCTTAAACAGTGCTGGAACTGCACAAAGTGGGAATTAGTGGAAAGCTGAGATGCATACATCATGCCACCCCAGTCTAAAGCTCTGCCAGTAAGTTATTGTCCAATTACAGAGTAATTTACAAAGTGCTGAAACAAGGAACACGAGAGACATGAATCCAGTTAAATCAGATAAAACAGAATGATTAAACTTAAATGAAACTTTACTGTAATCATTTAGTGTAATATAGTTAAAGCCCAGCTCAGGGTGAACACGAAGGAGGAAAAGCTTGGGTTGTATCAGATAAAACTATTAAAACCATTTACTGTAATATACTCAAAGAGATTCAATAATCATATCTTTTGATTTAAAGTCAGTTTAATTAATTACAGCACATATAAACCTTTGTCCTTGTGATCAGACAGAAAAATAAACATCAGTCTCTGAACATTAATAAATGTCCCCATGAGTTTGCTTAAAACACACTTTGAATTAGAATTATATATATGCTTATATATCATATATCTATATATTTGGGACATTCTGTGTTTTCCACTGCTGTGCCTGTAAGTACAGCCTCATAGAGCCTTTAGCTGAGCTTTATTTTTTACATCAAAACACCCAAACTCATTCCTCCTGAACCACAAAATGATACAATAGAGGCTTGTAGTGACATTCTTCATAAGACAGGCAGCTGTCTGATGACATTTCTCTTGTATCTAGCCAACACAGCATCATTAAATTCCATCATTTCAACTCTTACACACTCTTCATTCGACTAAAAGATGAGCTGTTGCCAAGCAGTTGCAAGTGTTTCATAATGCTGCAACAATAAGTCACAATGCATTGTTTGTTTCCCAGGACAGTCTGATGAGATTGGCTCTGTTTTTTTGTCCACAGACACAGAGACAAAGCACCAGCAGGATCGTGGTAAGTTAAATAAAAGTGCTGTTACTCTATCCTGTTATATTCTGTACCTGCAGATAACACTCTGTTGAATCTGGAGGGTGTCAGGTGTTAAAGATCATCAGGTATCCACCATATCTCACTCCGTCACTCTTCTCTTCGTTAAACCAACCCACTTTTTTTTAAACAGGAGAAACACGTGCCTGCTTAGATCATACTGCTAACACTGTGATGAGTTAAAAAAAAAAAATATATATATATATACGCAAAATGATACAATAAAAGCTTGTAGTGACATTCTTCATAATTTGTCTCATCTTCATCACTTTGGTCTTTTCTCAGCAGTTGGTACAGACAACCAGATCAAGAACAAAGCGAACCCAAGTGTAAGTAAAGTATAGAAATGTCAGAAAAATGCCAGAAAATATATATATTAAAGTATTAATTTGTATATTAAAGTGTCTGAGTTGTTTTATACTGTAACATATATATTAAAGTATTAATACATATTGCATATTATGTTTGAAAATGAAAAACGCATTTTACATTTCATTTTTAACCACTTAACTTAAATAAACTTAAAAAAATATTTTCATGCAATAATTGAAACAGCGCCTGCCTGTCTACGGCATTTACAACCACAGGTCACCTCGCTGTTTGAGTGTCAAAATGAAAAGAATATGTCAGTCCTCTCGTCAAGGCAGGATTTCAGTGAGGGAGTCACTCTGGAGGCCCCCAGAAAGTACGCTGGGCGCCGATTTCACGCCTGACGGACAGATGGCACTTTTACTCTCAGAGAATATTTTAAACACTAATACCAGTGTGCAAAGTAACAAACAGCCTCTCCGAGTGCACACTGTGACCCTCAGACAGAGAAGGGGGAGTGGAGAATGGATGGATGTTATCTTAGAAGCCAAGAACAAATCTTAACATCTTTCCTCTGTCCTTTCAGGGACCTACATTTGCACTTATGCTGGTTACGTTTACATTCCTGTTCTACTGAAGAACAGTAAGTCACACATTTCCTCTTTCTTAATTTTTTCTCATATTTGGTTCACAGTTTTGAAATCTGTCTTAAAGCATTAGTAAAGTCCCCACATGTAGAGTGCAACAGTTTCCATTTGCTGTAATCATTCCTCCTGTTTAAACACTAGAAGGCTGTTCTCACATGAACCTGCTGAAGAGGAATGTTTCTCTGAGTTCACCTTCAATCTCAGTTTAACCTCTCTATGTACCAACTGATTTGTGACTTTTCTGTGCAGTTTTTTCACCAAAGTTTTCCCCTTAAATGGGTTTTGAGGACAGATTGTATTGAATTAAGAGGCTGACATCCTGGTGCATTCATGGTGCAATAGCTTAGAGTTAGGATTAGCATCTGAGAGGGCACCAGGGTTTTCTTTGCTGCCTCAGATTTCAAACTTTTAAACATCCGCTGCAGGAGATTGTGTTGAATGCTGCTGTAGTTGTACCTGATTAAACGTAACCCTGTGTGGACCGGAGAGGTCAAAGAACAGAAAAAAGCTCATGAGCCATTTTGGAAAGCGCTGACTAATGATCTGTTTTGTGTCGTACAGATACGTGTGCAAGGCAAAACTGGAGAGGACACAACAGGAAAAACATGGATGGACTGTTACTCTGATGCTGACAACAGTCCTGAGTCTGAACACCATGAGAAACACACCAGTGACACAAATACTTGAGCTTAACTCTTGGTTCTTTGACCCAGCTGCCAAACGTTTATTGCACTCAAACATTTTTTATCAGGTACTTCCAGTAAAACCTCCTGGTTGATGGATCGTTTTATATCATGTCTAAATCATCAGTGTTTGTTCAATTAAGCTCTCAACTCTCTGCTGTTCCTCAAACTGTCTTTAACAATCTCCTAGAGTCAAAATGTCCAAATGTTAACTGTAGCTCGGGCCTAAGACCTCCTGGTGGCGCTGTTTGTCATTGACACTAGGAAGAAATATGCACATAATGACGACAAACCTCGTCCTACAGAAATTCCAACAATGAGGGGCCAAGTATTCTGTCGAATCTTTTATACGTGAATGTTGATTTTGTACGGATTAAAATGCAGCTGCACTGTTCAGAGGTTCTTCTTGATATGAACTCTGACTGAACCAGGATTTTTTAAACAACTGTAGGGACGGAGCTGGTATTTTATTGTTGTATTTGTGCTCGTTTTTGCCACCTTGTGAAGCGCTGTACAACCTCATTTTTAAAAAGCACTTTAAAGAATTTGTTATATTTTTACAAACATAATCAGTTTTTTAAGCTGTGAAACATCTGGACATTGTTAAAGACACATATCCCAAAACACTTCTATCTTTGATCAGAAAGCAAATACTGCACAAATTCTGCCCTGTTGTAGTAACACTACTATAGAACAATTACTATTTTTCTATGTATTTTATAATAATATTTTTTCATGGATGATTTGTGATTAATTAAATCCATTTGACTCAATCTCTGATGTGTGGAGTTTAATATGTATGTATGTAATATGGATCTTGATGTTTAGTTGATGTTGCCCTCTTTAGAGAGGCATGCTTTGTCCCAGGTGTGCTCTGATTGGTCCAGCTTGTGAGTGACTCTCAATCATGCAGAACACAAACAAAGTAAAAGGTGAATTGAACACAATCAAACAGCACTTTTATTTTACAATGAGAATTTCTATCCCACAAATAGTCAAAATAATATGCAAATGTGGCTGCTTATACATAAACAACTTTGAAGCTCATTGTTTTTGAACTCAGAGTTTTTACCGACATCATCTGCTCCAAATTCAGTAAACAAAGACATTCAAATATTAATGAAAACACAAAAGCAGCAAAATTAGACAATTTGTGCTTGAGACATATCATGAGAAGAAGTTTGACTTCAATGCCCATCCCATGTTCATCATCATCATCATCATCATCAGTGTGATTTCTGTTCAGGTCAAATGATCAATCAGTAATTCACTCACATACATTACAGTAGAAAGCAGAGGCCAAGAAAGATGAAGATGAAAAACTCCACAACATGAATGGAAAATAAAACCTCTCACAAGAGCAAAAATAACTGGTTGCACATGCAGTTGGTGACAGTTCCACGCTACAGATTGTACAAAGGCAAAGTGAAATATCTGAAATGTTCATTCGACAACTAAATACAAGCCAGCAGAGAGAGAGAGAGAGAGAGAGAGAGAGAGAGAGAGAGAGAGAGAGAGAGAGAGAGAGAGAGGCTTTGAAACAGCCAAAGCTCTTCTACAAGAGAAACAAAGATCACAGCAGCTTATCTGGAAAATGTTCTCACCTAGCCTGCTATTAAAGCTGATCACAGGGGAAAGAGCTTTAGGGCTCCAAAAGCATGTGGAGAGAGACACCTTCATCTTCCACATGGACAGCAAAGACCGGAAGCAAACTCATTGAAAGAACTGTGGCTGGGATCAAGACATTCAGTCTTATGGCAGCAGTGGATCAACTGGTTGACTGCAGCTGCTTGAAACCACAGGACTTTGGACCACCTGTCCGCACTCCTTTACTGATGGCAGTGAAGGAGGATATGGCGCCACCATCACAAGTATACGCCCAATAAAAATGTGCACACAGAATAAATAAAGATAAATCCAATGTATTGGTGTTTTGGTTTAAAGTAAGAGACAGTATAAGTAAAGGTTGGAGCTACAGTGGTACACTCTCACATACAGTAATACATTTAACTATTGCAGCTTCATGTTGTTCAGGTAGCATCATTCTGTTTGTGCATTGAGAAATGAACATTAATATCCTTTAAATATTCTACTATTAATTACTGAGAGTTATACACAATGAAGTTCTAACAAACTCAGACTGACTTTGATTTACTTCTTTCAGTTCAGTGTCGTAGAACATTAATTGGTTAGTTGAAATAAACTTAAAGATTCTGCACTTCCCCAAAATATCAGACCAAATAAGAACAAAATTACAAGTTAAAAACCTTTTATATCAAATGAGGTCTAGTAGTACAATGTGTTTTAAAACAGATTCATCACAAGGCAGCAACACAAGATAAAATGAGGCAAAACACACAAAAAAGCAGAACAGTCATAAAAATATATATATATAAACATATAAATATGTATATAAAACTCAAATATAAAAAAATATATAAACATATAAATATGTATATAAAACCCAAATATAAAAAAATATATGTGTAGTCACCTTAAAATAATAAGTCTTTTAGAGCTTATTATTGTCGCCTCTGGTCAAATTTAATCAACACATCAGGAAGAACTTCTGAACAATTCCCTGCAGCTGCATTTTAATCAAGAATCAACATTCTGGATGAAATGGTTGAACTTGTCTGTATTTGCTTCTTCAAACATTGCTAACTGCACACAAAAAACACACACAATTACTTAATACTAATTCAATCAAATTGTAATGTTGGTTGTGAATATTGGACCAAATGACAAGGTTCTATAATAAACACATTTTATATACAGTAAACGGATTCTAGAGTCCTTCAAGGGCAGTAAAACAAGATAACGTGACGCAAAAACACCAAAACAAAACTGCACAAAACAATAACAACAATAACAAAAATACTAGTATTACTATTATTATCATTATCATTATTGATAATAATAATATTATTAGTATTATTATTACAGCTCATAAAACACCTGATGAAATGTGGATGGAACAAAAGCTTTTCTTTCTTACGAGCTGACATTTCTTAAGTTGAGCATACCTATATTCTCGCCATTACCCCCATCACTGTCCTCTGCATTGTCCTCTGCATTGTCTTCAGCATTGTACTCTACATTGTCCTCTGCATTGTCTTCTGCATTGTCCTCCTGACTACCTTCCCTGTTCTGCCCGTTGTGTCCTGTCGTGTTTGGTCTTGCACAGTCCGTCGCTGTTAGACACAAAACCAGTTATTAGTCAGTGCCTTCCAAAATGTCCCATGAACATTTTCTGTTCTTTGATCGCTCTGATCAACACATGTTTAAGTTTAGACATTAAAACCACTTGGTTAAAGCTCTGTGGAAAATATGATTAAATGGCAGCATTCAACACAGTCTCCTGCAGCAGAGTAGCATCATCAGCAAAGAATAAAGCAGGAAAAGTGAGAATAGGATGTGAAAAGGGCGATTATTTTATCAGCCCAAGCAGAGTCAGTCAGCAGTGGAGTGATGACACTTGTTGTTATTGACAGTGAGGAACTACAAGTAAAGGAGCTTGTCCCAGATCAACCATCATAATCAGACAGCAGGATAGTGAGAAAGCTCAGACACACTGTACATGAGAGGCAGGGTGCAGACCCCCCAATAAATGATTTCTAAATAAATGATGGAGTTATAAACACATATTAGCTGATATTAGCTTTAGATACACTTCTGAAAACATGTTTCCATGTAAGGAGGACTGTAGATTGTTCCCCTCATCACTTCCATTGAAAGTACTTTAGGAAGAGATCTTTAATGTCCAGTATAACAGGAGGAACCATTACAGCAAGAACAACCTGTTTCACTGTTCACTGTTGTTTGAAGACTGACTGAAAAACTGTAAACTGTCTTTTTAAATGGAGAAAATGGAGAGAGAGAAGATAATTGACTTACTGATCTTTCTACGATTCATCCACAATGCAGCAACTGCAACAATGACAGCAATGACACCAACAACAATGCCAATTATAGCACCAGTGTCACCACCTGAAAGAACAGAGGAAAGATGTTGAGATTTGTTCTTCACTGTTCCAAGATAACATCCATCAACAATATTTCCACAGCCACTTCTCCTGTTCATGGTCTCAATGTGTACTTGGAGTCCATCCCACCAAAACTGTCTGTTGGTTAAAATCTCTTTCATTGCACAACAGTAAACAAACAGTATTATCAGTGAGAATATTCTCCAGAAATACGAGGATCCAGGGTTATTTAAAGGACTGCTGTGGAGGATTCAGTGCCATCTAGTGGTGAAGTTACAGATTGCAAACAAGTGAATAAAACTTCCAAATGTGTTCTGGACTACTGTAGAAACATGGTGGTGACAATAGATCCTCCTGAATGTTACACACTGGACCTTTCAGTAGTCCTCTATCAGTGTGCTCTGAGATGATGAATGAGTTCATTATTTGTTATCAAATCAAATCAAATGTGCAAAAAAAAAAATATATGTGATAACATTCAGACCAACAGGAGATGACAGCTGATGGAGATACAAATAAGATATTTACTTACTGATATCACCAGTCTGACCTCCCACTGGCTCTGTAGGACAATCAATACAAAACTTTTAAGACGTGACAAATAGAACATTTCCTCTTATTTCCTTTGAATGTGTAATATGTTAGCTGTACTCACCAACAGTGAGGTTAATGAAGCCTCTCCTGACCTGACTTTGCAGTCCGGGAACAAAGCAGGTGTAATTTCCAGCATCCAGTTCAGTTACGTTGGTCAGTTTTAGTGAAATGTTTCCTCTGATCCTTTCTTCATGGAAGAGAGATGTTCTACCTCTGAAGTTCTCATCTTGAAGATCTAAATAGTCCTCCCCATGTCCACTGATGTGCACAAATCTTCCATCACGTTTCCACTCCACTGTTAGAGTCCTCACATCAAATGGCGGCTCCAGGTGACATGGCAGGATGGTGTTATCACCGACTGTTACTGTAACTGGTTTGTCTGAGCCAATCACATCAGACTCTCCTGTAGAGACAAACATCATATTTACACTTCCTGATACAGAATCACTGAACACTGAACCTAATTGAGGATCTTTACATTACAGTATTAGAGTTCGACTGATAAGGGTTTTTTATTGGTCAATGTAGATATTTAGAGAGCAGGGAGACTGATGCTAGATATTTAATGTAAGTAAAATTCCATTATTCCATGCACATTACAATCTAATATACATGCTTATCTGAGCCAGTAAAATGTTGTTTTAGATGTTATTATTATTAATTAGTCAAACAGAAAAATACATTGGGTTATACTGTAGGTTTTACAATGTGTCTGTTATTTCAGAGAGGGTACAGTCGTTTAACTGCATTGTTCTATACATTATAACATAATGTATAGAACAATGACGTGTATATGTATGTGTGTGTATAATGTATATAACACTGGCCAGTAAAGGTTTTAGGAGAAACACATTAACTTTTATAAAAGATAATGATGATTTATACAAACATTTACATTAGTATCTGCTGATCCTCAGTTTCATTAAATTAATATCATAGTCCTAACTCAATACTTGTATTTGCTTTATAATACAGGTGAATGTCGCTGAATTGCATTAAGAATGTTTTATATGTAAAATTAATGTTTTCTTATACTATACTAATTATCAAAACTATAAAACAGCCTGACGGACTCTCCTGTAATCTCTTGTCGCTATCTGGAGGAAGTTTCTTTCTCTCTTTGAAAGTGTGTGCAGTGTTTGTTGCTTCAGTGAAGCCTTTTAGTTACCTGAATGAACTGTATTTTACTGGATGTTTATTTTCCTCTTCTGTACATTCATAAATAACTCTAACTTGCTTTTTGTTTGCAGGGCTTTTGTAGCACTTGTACTCGCAGGCTGAATATGCAGCTCTCCACCACTCTCTGCCTCGCCTCTGACCAGGAGCTCAGTCCAGTGGTTCACTGTGGACAGAGCTGAGCTCCTGCACACACGCACAGAGCAGATATAGTTAATAACAGCTGCACTGCGCGCAGAGGTTAAAATTCAGTATTGTGGTAGTCTGGCCTTGCTGCTGATTGGTAAACCAGGAATGAAGCTGGTCAATCCTCAAGCAAGACCTCAGTATAAGAATCCTTCCTGAGAGTTGGTTGGTGCCACCATTGTATGTTTTGGAGTTGTTTTGTAGTAAAGTTTTTCTTTGTGTTTTGTTTAGTGGCAGTAGTTGGATTCAGATTTTTTTCTACTTTATAAGGGGATGTAACTTTTCTGTCTGTTCTCCCCCAAATAGTGAGAAGACCAGCAAATGCCATTGTTGATGTCTCTCTGTGTATGTTAAAGATGGTAACTGTCAAGTCTGTAAACAAGATAGTTCATGTGACAATTAACAGATTAATGGGAAAAACTTCTGTCACACAGTTCTATTTATGTATTCATTTATGTCTCCACAGTAATTTCCTTTCTTGTGTTGGGACAGCTGCTGTTTGAAGCCCTGACACATTTTCCAGCATGCAGAAATTCAGCAGAAAATTACGGTTGAGCTGTGGATCATGGAGCAGATTAATAAAAGGGAATAAAAGGATTTGCATGCAGGTATATGTAAATCTCATAGCCTGAGATATGTTGCTACAGAGCCATGTCTTTGAATGTGTGTTTTTAACACAATACATGGTTTGAATTTGTTGAATATGCATAGGATCTGGTTTGGTAATGTGCTGAGTGAAGGCTTTGCACAGCAGGAGTGTCTGCAGTCTTTTAAAGATTAGACATGTTGCTCACACAAGTACAGCAAAAAGTACCCCTAAGTGTACACAACAAACAGTGAACATATTCAAAAAACATGGAGCACCTCTCAATTGTCAATTAGGATTATTATTTGGCTCCACTGGTGATTCACAATCCAATTTACAGTTTATAAATTATCATTTATAAATTACCCCAATGTCTGGCCACCCCAGTTCACACATCAGATCCTGCAGGGAAGCAAACATAGTTTTTAGACTTCCTGTTGCATCATTGGACATTTTGTTTCTCAATTATAATTCAAACTGTTTGGTTTCCATTCAAATGTATAGCAAAGTTTAACCGAATTTCCAGAAAATGTGGAAAAGGACGTGCAAAATCATGTCTTTCCATCCATTATTGTTGGAGTTGGACGCATTGAGATCTAAGGGGGCACCCATTAACAGGTGCACTGTTAATGCCCCCACTGGTTCCTTTAATTAAAATACTGAGCTCAGTCAATGTTCTGCCTTTATAAAACCCAGTCTGACTTACCAACAATGAGCTGGATGGAAGCTTCCTTCTGTAATGAGGGAAGGACACATTGGTATCTTCCTGTATCAGAAACTTTCACTTTGAAGATTTTCATGGAGACGTTTCCTGTCATCAGTTCATCCACAAACACTCTTGTCCGGAAATTATAAGATGGATTTTGATTTTCAAACATAAATCTTCCATCCTGGTGAACATGGATGTACTTTGGGTCTAAACCAGGTCTGGTCCACTCCACTGTCTCATCATAAACACTGATGGGAGGTTCAAGGTGACATGGTAGAATGACATCATCACCAGCCAGGGCTGTGATTGGTTGATGTGAACAAATCAACTGTGAGTTTGCTGTGAGGAAAACAAAAGAACAAACAGGAAACAGCAGTTAGGTTAAAATACATATCATCAAAACTGAAGGGAGTCAGGTAAAGCTTTCATAATTTAACAATATTAACATTAACGTTGTAGATTTAATACAAACTATAAACTGTCTCTGCTGCCTGGTGATTAGTCCAGTCCTCACAGTATAATAACATTAGCTTTGTCTATACAGTGTAAACATCAGTCTACAGACTGACTGCAGCTTTAAGTCTCACAATATCTGCATCAGCTCCTTTAAACCGGATCCCCCCACATTTCCTTTCACACACTTAAATATCAAATACTATTTATACTACGGCTTAACTGAATACTAATTATTATTTACTGAGAGATCACAGAGCTGCAGCTGAACCGACTGAGAGAGCAGATCATTATAATCTTGTTTTAAATGATGTGTGTCTGTGAGGAGAGTCAGTACACCCATATATGATCTGGACTGTTGCACAGAGATGTTGCTGCTGTTGCAATACAGGTTTGTGTACGTTGATGTGAACTTCTGCTTTGTCCCAGTACTGGTTCCTCTCATTATTATTATTAGATTTAAGAAGTTCAGATTAGGTCTTAGGTCCGTGTATGTTTTGGTCATTGGATTTTCCTTTCAGAAACGGGTATTAAAAAACAGAAAACGAGTGGTTATTTGATTTTCGTTTTAAAATACAAAAATTAAAATTGAAATACAAGGCGTTTTTCTTTTTCATGGTCAAAAAGGGATGAGTGAAATTAAAAAAATTATTCGATTTTCATTTTCTATTTCATATAACAAAAAATAAAATCACTAGAAAACAGAAACAGAAAAAAGGCCTGTTTTTTCATATTCTGAGACCGGATGTTGTCATTTACAGGACGGTGCTGTGTAGAAGAAACAGTAGGTTAGTAGACTGCGGTCAATCCAGCCGTGAGTCCGATCTCCGTGGTCAAATCAGCCGCACCTAAATGTCCAGTGTACAAGTATTCTCAGCATTATGGTAAATGCGGAGAAACAGCGTATTTACTTCTGGTGTTCAAAATAAAGGTATTTAGAACAGTAAGCTATAATTAATGTACATTTAATATGTTACATTAAAGTGTTTCATGCGCCCCTGATGAATAAAAAAACACTTTATATCAAGTATACTGCACCAGTGTGGAGAAATGCCAAAATAAAAGCCTCATATTTATGCCTCCAGAGATTGCATATTTGACAATATTTGAGGTACTGTAAAAACATATTGCTCAGTGTTTCCTGGCTACTGATGGTATATTTGACTTTTACACATATGAGACTACAACCATACTTAATATCAAGCATTTTTACTGTACCAATTTGGAGAAATTCAACAATAAAAGTCCATATTTGTACCTCCAAGTGGCATATTTTCATATATTTGAACTACTGTAAAAACACGTTGCTCAATAATACCTGGCTATGGGTGAAGCATTTTCATTATACTTCAATAATGATGCAGTAATCATGACAAAATTTCACACAAATGTTTAATAACATTTTATAAAAAATTATAATATAAAGATTAAACACTAAACACAAAATCCTACACAATTCTAATTTGTTTACTTTTCACACAAAATGCAATTCCAGTCCACATTCTTCTTATTTTGCAGCTCTGCTGTGTCCATTTGTAGGCACTGTATGTGGAAGCACCTGCAACAGCTGTCACACTGAATCTGTAAAAGGGAAAAATAATTAGTTTTAACTTCAAAACACCATTGTACCTACTGTCTCTTCCTCATATATTATTTTTCCCTTTTACAGACTCAGCGTGACAGCTGTTGCAGTTGGTTCCACATACAGGGGAACCACCTTTTATTCCTAAATTTCTCCACATTGGTGCAGTAGAAATGCTTGATATTAAGTATACTTGTAGTCTTAGATGTGTAGAAGTAAGATATACCATCCATAGCCAGGAATTATTGAGCAAAGTGTTTTTACAGTAGCTCAAATATATGAAAATATGCCACTTGGAGGTACAAATATGGACTTTTATTGTTGAATTTCTCCAAATTGGTACAATAAAAATGCTTGATATTAAGTCTGCTTGTAGTCTCATATGTGTAAAAGTCAGTAGCCAGGAAACACTGAGCAATATGTTTTTACAGTACAAATTTTCACACAAATGTTTAATAACATATATATAATTATATATAATATAAACACTAAACACTAAACACAAAATCCTACACAATTCTAATTTGTTTACTTTTCACACAAAATCCAATGCCAGTCCACATTCTTCTTATTTTGCAGCTCTGCTGTGTCCATTTGTAGGTAAAAGGGAAAAATAATTAGTTTTAACTTCAAAACACCATTGTACCTACTGTCTCTTCCTCACATATTATTTTTTATATTATTCAGTGTGACAGCTGTTGCAGGTGGTTCCACATACAGTTTACATTTTTACAGTAGCTCAAATATAAGAAAATATGGAATCTGGAAGTATAAATATGGGACTTTTATTCTTCAATTTCTCCACATTGGTACAGTAAAAATGCTTGATATTAAGTATACTTGTAGTCTTAGATGTGTAGAAGTCAAATATATCATCCATAGCCAGGAATTATTGAGCAAAGTGTTTTTACAGTAGCTCAAATATATGAAAACACCACTTGGAGGTACAAATATGGACTTTTATTGTTGAATTTCTCCAAATTGGTACAGTAAAAATGCTTGATATTAAGTATGGTTGTAGTCTCATATGTGTAAAAGTCAAATATACCATCAGTAGCCAGGAAACACTGAGCAATATGTTTTTACAGTACCTCTAATATTGTCAAATATGCAATCTCTGGAGTCATAAATATGAGGCTTTTATTTTGGCATTTCTCCACACTGGTGCAGTATACTTGATATAAAGTGTTTTTTATTCATCATGGGCACACAACACTTTAATGTAACATATTTTATTTTAAATGTAGGTTCGAATTATAGCTTACTGTTCTAAATACCTTTATTTTGAAAACCGGAAGTAAATACGCTGTTTCTCCGCATTTACCATAATGCTGAGAATACTTGTACACTCGAAATTTAAATGCGGCTGATTTGACCACGGAGATCGGACTCACGGCTGGATTGACCGCAGTCTACTAACCTACTGTTTCTTCTACACAGCACCGTCCTGTAAATGACAACATCCGGTCTCAGAATATGAAAAAACAGGCCTTTTTTCTGTTTCTGTTTTCTAGTGATTTTATTTTTTGTTATATGAAATAGAAAATGAAAATCGAATATTTTTTTTAATTTTGCTCATCCCTTTCTGACCATGAAAAAGAAAAACGCCTTGTATTTCAATTTTAATTTTTGTATTTTAAAACGAAAATCAAATAACCACTCGTTTTCTGTTTTTTAATACCCGTTTCTGAAAGGAAAATCCAATGACCAAAACATACACGGACCGTCTTAGGACTCACAGTCACACAGTTGCAATTGACTCATTCAGGCAGTCTCAATAAACATAAGCACCAACGCCTTTTTATTTGATTTTAGTTTTATACCATGGGACTTTATCGCGTTAATTACGATTAATTAATTACAGAAAAAACAACACGACAAAAAAAGTAACGCATTTAATCGCAATTTATTTTTGCACACACACACCAAGGTGCGCCCCCGGCCCCCTCCTCCCTCACCTGTAGTTCTACAGGCTTGAAAAATGGAGCGAGATCGACTGCCCAAGAGGAAAGGTGGAGCAGAGAGAGAGAGAGCCACAGATCAGCTCAGTGCTGTAAAATAACTGACCTGTTTGTCAGTAAGGGAGCAGGTCAGACATTAAACACTAGTGGAGACAACAGACACACAACCAGAGCCTATCCAGCACCACCAGCTTCATGAGGAGGTTAGTTTCACTTTGTGGAAGCTGATGGGGATAAAACTGACTTAATACAACAAATGATGTAAAAAAAAAAAAAAAAAAAGAGTAAAATATAAAAGTTTGTGCTTTGTGAACAATGCAATCATAATATTCTTTATTCAGATTGCACTTTATGTTAACACTCACTGATGAAAATAAACACACATTTGTTGTTTAATCTCATTTATGTGTCTATTCATTGATTCAGTCACCAACATCCATTTAAATGAAAAATTGTGCTTCTTGTATCAAATTTTGATATGCGACTAATTGAGATGAATTAATTACAAAGCCTCTAATTAATTAGATTATTTTTTTAATCGAGTCCCACCACTAGTTTATACCAAATGTTTCATCTAGTTTCTTCATCCTTCTGCCGTTCCTATATACATACAGTATATAATGAACATACTGAAGTGTTTACCGTCAGATTGCGCAGTGCAGTTTGTTGGTAAAGTATAAAAAGAAGAGTCAGTGTCTCTTTAACTGATAATGACTGTGATGATGAGAAATGACTGACTGTTGACCAGCGCCCTTCTTCAGTGTTTACGGTTTGTTTGTTTGCTGTTTACTGACTGTCACTGCAGCTCGTTAATAAACTAACGGATATAGTAAAGAATATAAAGAATATATTACTGTAGGTTTATATATAATACAGTTAGTAACAGTCTATAAGGCCTACCTGAGGCTGCGTCCGTTAGTAGAGAAAGAATGATCAGCATCGGTCCAGCGCTCCTCTTCATCACTGCATCGATGTGTCAGTGTGTCGTTAATCTTTTATAGAAGATTTATAAAAACTTTACTTTTCATAAAGTTTCATTGTGAGCGTCTGCAGTCACTAGTTTCCAATGAGGAGACATCATGCATGGCAGCGTCTGAACAAAGAGCTGATCCTGGAGCACATTCACAGCTCTGTGGGAGAGACCTGCCCACCCATTTCCCGAAAATACTCCGGATACAGAGGGGGCGTGGAAGAGAAGGTTCATTTCCTAGTTTTACAACATTGCCCCCTCTCCACCTGTCCTGGCCCCTACCGGAGATCGGCTGTCTCTGCGGCGGTCTCTCAGAGGAAGAGCGAGAGGTTGCGGGTTCGATCCCCGGCTCCGATCCCCGGCTCCTCCCGCTGCATGTCGAAGTGTCTTTGAGCAACATACTATTAGAAGCATAAATGAATGAATTGTTTCAAAGCCACAAACTATAAATAATAAAAAATAAAAAATATACACAGTAGACCGACATCTCAGCATTTCGTCTAATTCTGTGAAGAAAATTCAAAATACACACAGCAGCACAGAGGGATGTAGTCCACAGTGTACAAGTCCAATAAGATATCACACAATAGCAATATTACAAAATATAAAACTATAAATGAAACATATACTGCACTATATGCAATGTGCAACATATTTTAAGCAGCTTTGACTAAAAAACTAAAGAAACTAAGAATATAACTGTACATGTGCAACTTAAAGACAACAGTGTGTGAAAGTAAAATGAAATGAAATTCTTTGCTTAGATAGCATATGTGATTGTTGAAAACTAAAATAAACAAATAAACAATACAGAAAACTCTGATGTTCAGTTAATATCCATAAAATATGTTAGTCAGTGACATTAAAGGAAGACTACAGACAGCCAGCTCAGGTCATATATCAGGCTGAGCACAGAGGGGGGCTTTGGCTCTTACAGACCATTACAATATAAACCCACAACCTCCTTCCTTCACCCGGCAAACGGGCTCTTCACCGGAGCATCTATCTGTTTCCTGTTATCAGTGCACAAACTATCATGGTAAGAAAAGTCAAATAATTTTATCTGGTAATATTTAACAGCGGGAACGAATGAAGTAAGCACTGCAGTACAATACAAATAAAAGTACTGGGGAACAGGGTTAGTGAAAGAAAGTGAAAGTAAATGTGCTAAAAAATACATAAAAATATAAAATAAAAGCAAATGTCGTTGAGCCACATGTGACAGTTAAAACTGAGTGTGTCCAGTTCTGTTGGCACTTTGTGTTGAAAGAAATCAAATCCATAGTTTATCCAACTACATAAGATAAAGTTCTGACATCCTCACTGTAACATCTGTCTCGCTGAGCCCCAGACGTCCACTGATCAGAAGGTTGTTGGTTCGATCCCCGGCCACTGCCAGCCCTCAGGCTTGTGTACAGTTTGGATTGTGCTTGGGCCAGAGATACAGAAACAGATTTAATGTTTTAATTGAAGAGTTTTACACTGTAAAACAATGAAATGAGATATAAATACAGACAAACACTGCTATAAATAATCAGGCTTACATTTACAGCAGAGTGCTGTTATTATCTGATTTTTCTTATTTGAATCTGAATTATAAAAGTTATAGAACTGTCATAAAAGTCATTATTTGTTGTTTGTTGTTGTTGAAGTTCTAACAAACTCAGACTGACTTTGTTTTTTTTCTTTCATTTCAGTGTCGTAGAACATTAATTGGTCAGCTGCAATAAACTTAAAGATTCTGCATTTCCCCAAAATATCAGACCAAATAAGAACAAAATGTCAGGTACAAGTTAAAAACATTTTATATCAAATGAATTCTAGTAGTACAATGTGTTTTAAAACAGATTCATCACAAGGCAAAAGGCAGAACAGTCGTAAAAAAATATATATATAAACATATAAATATGTATATAAAACCCAAATATAAAAAAAAAAATATATGTAGTCACCTTAAAATAATAACAGTCTTTAAGAGCTTATTATTGTCGCCTCTGGTCAAATTTAATCAACACATCAGGAAGAACTTCTGAACAATTCCCTGCAGCTGCATTTTAATCAAGAATCAACATTCTGGATGAAATGGTTGTACTTGTCTGTATTTGCTTCTTCAAACATTGCTAACTGCACACAAAAAACACACACAATTACTTAATACTAATTCAATCAAATTGTAATGTTGGTTGTGAATATTGGACCAAATGACAAGGTTCTATAATAAAAACACTTTATATACAGTAAACGGATTCTAGAGTTCTTCAAGGGCAGTAAAACAAGATAACGTGACGCAAAAACACCAAAACAAAACCACACAAAACAATAACAACAATAACAAAAATACTAGTATTACTATTATTATCACCACCATTATCATTATCATTATTGATAATAATAATAATATTAGTATTATTATTACAGCTCATAAAAGACCTGATGAAATGTGGATGGAACAAAAGCTTTTCTTTCTTACTAGCTGACATTTCTTAAGTTGAGCATACCTATATTCTCGCCATTACCCCCATCACTGTCCCCATCACTGTCCTCTGCATTGTCCTTTGCATTGTCATCTGTATGGCCTCTGCATTGTCCTCCTGACTACCTTCCCTGTTCTGCCCGTTGCGTCCTGTCGTGTTTGGTCTTGCACAGTCCGTCGCTGTTAGACACAAAACCAGATATTAATCAGTGCCTTCCAAAATGTCCCATGAGCATTTTCTGTTCTTTGACCGCTCTGATCAACACACGTTTAAGTTTACACATTAAAACCACTTGGTTAAAGCTCTGTGGAATATATGATTAAATGGCAGCATTCAAGACAGTCTACTGCAGCAGAGTAGCATCATCAGCAAAGAATAAAGCAGAAAAAGTGAGAATAGGATGTGAAAAGTGACACTTGTTGTTATTGACAGTGAGGAACTACAAGTAAAGGAGCTTGTCCCAGATCAACCATCATAATCAGACAGCAGGATAGTGAGAAAGCTCAGACACACTGTACATGAGAGGCAGGGTGCAGACCCCCAATAAATGATTTCTAAATAAATGATGGAGTTATAAACACATATTAGCTGATATTAGCTTTAGATACACTTCTGAAAACATGTTTCCATGTAAGGAGGACTGTAGATTGTTCCCCTCATCACTTCCATTGAAAGTACTTTAGGAAGAGATCTTTAATGTCCAGTATAACAGGAGGAACCATTACAGCAAGAAAAACCTGTTTCACTGTTCACTGTTGTTTGAAGACTGACTGAAAAACTGTAAACTGTCTTTTTATGGAGGAAATGGAGAGAGAAAAGATTATTGACTTACTGATCTTTCTACGATTCTTCCATACAGCAACTGCAACAATGGCAATGACAGCAATGACACCAAGAGCAATGCCAATTATAGCACCGGGGCTCAAATCAGTGTCACCATCTGAAAGAACAGAGGAAAGATGTTGAGATTTGTTCTTCACTGTTCCAAGATAACATCCATCAACAATATTTCCACAGTCACTTCTCCTGTTCATGGTCTCAATGTGTACTTGGAGTCCATCCCACCAAAACTGTCTGTTGGTTAGAATCTCTTTCATTGCACAACAGTAAACAAACAGTATTATCAGTGAGAATATTCTCCAGAAATACGAGGATCCAGGGTTATTTAAAGGACCGCTGTGGAGGATTCAGTGCCATCTAGTGGTGAAGTTACAGATTGCAAACAAGTGAATAAAACTTCCAAATGTTTTCTGGGCTACTGTAGAAACATGGTGGTGACAATAGATCCTCCTGAATGTTACACACTGGACCTTTCAGTATTCCTCTATCAGTGTGGTCTGAGATGATGAATGAGTTCATTATTTGTTATAAAATCAAATCAAATGAAAAAAAAAAAATGTCTGAATCAAAATCTACGGAAGCCCTAAAGGGCCATGTATTCATACATTTTATTTCCTCCGTTTTCCCGTGATAACAAGTTAATTTTCTCGAGATCTCGAGATAACGAAACTTTGTTTTCCCGAGATAACAAGATAATTATTTTAATATCTCAGAATAAGGACTGTGATATGATAACTGCGGTCAAGCCAGCCGTTACTCCGATCTCCGTGGTCAAATCAGCCGCACTTCAATTTACAGCGTATTCACTTCCGGTTAACAGTAAGCTATAATTCAAACCTACATTTAAAATTCAATATGTTACATTAAAGTGTTTCATGCGCCCATGATGAATAAAAAACATACTTCATATCAAGTATTTTTACTGCACCAATGTGGAGAAATTCAACAATAAAATTCCACATTTGTACTTGCTTTTACTGTACCTCAAATATATGAAAATATGCAACTTGGAGATACAAATATGGAACTTTTTTTTGGCATTTCTCAACCTTGTTGCAGTAAAAATGCTTGATATTAAGTATACTTGTATTCTTATATGTGTAGAAGTCAAATATATCATCCATAGCCAGGAATTGTTGAGCAATATGTTTTTACAGTACCTCAAATATGAGAAAAGATGCCACTTGGAGGTACGAATATGGAACCTTTGCTTTGGCAGAAATACCACATTGGTGCAGTAGAAATACTTGATATTAAGTATGTTTTTTATTCATCAGGGGCGCATGAAACACTTTAATGTAACATATTTTATTTTAAATGTAGGTTATAGCTTACTGTTCTTAATACCTTTATTTTGAAAACCGGAAGTGAATATGCCGTAAATTGAAGTGCGGCTGATTTGACCACGGAGATCGGAGTAACGGTTGGCTTGAACGCAGTTATCATATCGCAGTCGTTATCTCGAGATCTCAAATTAATTATCTCGTTATCACGGGAAAACGGAGGAAATAAAATGTATGAATACATGGCCCTTTAAGGCTTCCATAAAAATCAAATGTCTGTGCAAAAACCAAGAGGATATGACAGCTGATGGAGATACAAATAAGATATTTACTTACTGATATTCCCACTGTGACCTCCCACTTGCTCTGTTGGACAATTATTACAAAACCTTTAACACTTGACAAATAGAACATTTTCTCTTATTTCATTTGAATGTGTAATATGTTAGCTGTACTCACCAACAGTGAGGTTAATGAAGCCTCTCCTGACCTGACTTTCCAGTTTGGGAACATTGCAGGTGAAACTTCCAGCATCCAGTTCAGTTACGTTGGTCAGTTTTAGTGAAATGTTTCCTCTGATCATTTCTTCATGGAAGACAGATGTTCTACCTCTGAAGTTCTCATCCTGATCAGTTAGATAGTCCTTCCCATGTCGACTGATGTGCACAAATCTTCCATCACGTTTCCACTCCACTGTTAGAGTCCTTACATCAAATGGCGGCTCCAGGTAACATGGCAGGATGGCGTTATCACCGACTGTTACTGTAACTGGTTTGTCTGAGCCAATCACATCAGACTCTCCTGCAGAGACAAACATCATATTTACACTTCCTGTTACAGAATCACTGAACACTGAACCTAATTGAGAATCTTTACATTACAGTATTAGAGGTTTACTGATAGGGGTTTTTTATTGGTCAATGTAGATATTTAGAGTGACTGATGCTCGATATTTAATGTAAGTATAATTCAATTATTCCATGCACATCACAATCTAATAAACATGCTTATTTGAGCCAGTAACAGTAAAATACATTGGGTTATATTGTAGGTTTTACAATCTGTCATTTAACTGCATTGTTCTATACATTATAACATAATGTATATTACACTAACATGTATATGTGTGTGTGTGTATAATGTATATAACACTGGCCAGTATGCAAACATTAACATCAGTATCTGCTGATCCTCAGTGTTATTAAATTAATAGTCCTAACTCAATACTTTATGCTTTATTATACAGGTGAATGTCTCTGCATTATATAATATAAAATACTTTTTTTGATCTTGTCGCTGTCTGGAGGAAGTTTCTCTCTCCCTTTCAAAGTGTGCGCAATATTTGTTGCTTCAGTGCAGCCTTTGAGTTAGCTGAATGAACTGTATTTTACTGGATGATGATTTTCCTCCTGCTGTACATCTTTTACACAGTTTACGTTCATAAATTACTCTAACTTGCTTTTTGTTCGCGGGCAGTGCCGGCCTGCGGCATAGGCAGTATAGGCAAATGCTAAGCTCGTTTTAACATTAGTTCATGTTATGGAGGGTTCTATAATATATATAATACTCCCACCTTATATTTCTCAGGGACATTTGTAAAGATTAGATCTATTCAGCAGCTGCTTACATTATTTGTATTTATTATTGGTTAGTTAACGTATGCTCTGCTTGTAACAGTCAGTCAGATGCTTTTTTCCTTTCACACACCTTTATATATTAGAGTTGTAAGCCTTGTTGTTTGTTGTGTTACAGTTCAGTATTGTCTAAAGTGTGTTTATAGTGTTAAACGTTACATCCATGTTAAAGTGCACATCTTTAATGTTAATACATTCCCATATGTTATATTATTCTGCAGTTTACCGCTTCTTTGCATTCTGCTAATCAGCATTTCACTTTAATGACAATAAGATTAAATCTAATATAATTCACATATCAGAAACATTGCACTAATGCATCTCTTAGGTTTTTCATTTTTATTATTTAATTTTATTCTTGGAATCATTTCTTTTATTATTAGACTGTAACACCCAACGGTGTCACTTACTCCTCTTCTCTCTTCAGATGCGCTGTTGAAATATCTAAATCCACCTCCTGCAAATCCTGGAACATCTACAGTCATCACCGCTTCAACAGCATCAAGTGATCCTCCTGTCATTTCTTGCATTATTTATTTTTAATTTATTATTTTCTTGTCAACTGTTTTGATTGAGCAACTTGTTTCTCTAAAAATAAAATAAAATGTCAAAGACAAAGCTATTCAGTTTCTTGCGTGAGTATATGTATGTATATAACTAGCAGTGGAATTTACTGCGATGTAAAGGGGGCGCCACCTAAAATCTTGACTAGGGCATCAAATTGGTTAGGGCCGGGCCTGTGCACGTGTGTTCTGCACATCTGACAGTTTCACAATAACAGTGCAGCTGATGACTTAAAATGTGTTTTTGATAATAACAAATGTATTAATCATGTAAATATATGTAAATAATAAGAGACACAGGAACAGTTTCTACCCACAAGTCTTAACGAAACATTAATTACTTATTTTCCCCTGCTGAAAATTCTGTTTCTTTGCATACTGTTTATAATGTCATATCGACCTACCCCATATACATAAAGATCAGTAAGTGTTTACTTTTTAGGGTCAATCGTAGACCTTTCCAAGGAGCAGCCCCAGGCGACTGTTAAAGGAGCAGGCTGCTGTGAAAACAGCATTGTTGCAATATGAATATTACTTAGTATTCCAATACTGTGGACTATTTACAGGAACTAAAAGTCACAAGCAGATGGGCTTCAGATTCTTTGGTTATTTAATTGAAAAAATTGTCTCTGATTTAATTTGTTATGTGTTACGTGTATTCTGTGACAGGTGACTGATCTATTTTGAATGCATAGCATTTCTTTTTTGCAGGGATGCACAAAAAATGGAGGGAAGTAAAAGTACTGCAAGAATATAAATATTGGGCATTAGGCAAAGGGTATCTGTATTTCTACCGCAGAGGGAAGCAGTGCTCAGTGCCCAACTTGTATCATTCAGGAACATCTTGATGATGTGCGTG